CCAGAGAGAAAAAAAACGATATATTTCACCATGGTAATGAAAATGAATTTACAATTTTCTAGAAACTTTCTGTTGTTGTTTTTTTCCTGTTTTTGGATCTTTGTTAACTTCAAGTTAACAAATCTAGCTAGTCATGTTTTTTTGCTTATCTTCATCACTTTGTTTTTTTTTTTTTTTTTGTTTTATGCATCATTTTTTTTCTTCTTTTGATGGATCCACTAACATCATCGTAATGAATAAAAAAAAATCCAATGATGATGATGGCTGAACTCTTTCTTTTCGTTTTTTGATCTAATATAAAAAATTGACATAGTCAAAGCAACAACAACACGAAATAACCCGAAAAAAAAGTTGTTAATGTGAAATATGGAATTTCATCTCACATTGTAATAAGGCAGCAAAAAAAAAACCTCAACAATATAGTCTACAAATCTAGTAGTCTTTCATAATATCGGAATCCAATTGATCCTGAAGATATCGATCGTGATTTTTTTTTTTTTGTTGTTGTTGTTGTTGTTGTCGTTGTTGTCGTCGAATAAGAATGAACCACTATGAATCATGACCATGAATAAAACCAGAGGAAAAAAAACCAATTCATTGGTTGAAATTCAATAATAAAAAATGACTAGTGTACACACACTAGTGGAACTTTGACTCTCTCTCTCTTTTGGAACAAGACAAAATGACTTGTTTGTATATTATATATTGGTTATTATTATTTTTGTTGGTTGTTGGTCGTAGTGAGATGTTGAATGACTATTTTCTTTATTCTTTCCTTTTCCACTATTTCTTTTATTCTATTCGTCATAGTTGCAGTTGAAATTGCTATGTTGCAATGTCGTCTTCATTGTCGGGATTCCAAAACATTGATTATATGTTCACATGTGGATGTACCGCCACATATACATCTCAAAAACAAAAAAAACACATCACTATGATTGGATGCGATCCATTTGGCACATACACACACACATAGACATACAGACACACAGACACATCAAACACATTTGCTACGCAACATCCGCGCCAGCCAGATCGACAGAAATTTTTTTTTTCACTTTAATATAATATAAATATATCGGGATCCATTGTATATGTGTGATTGGTCCATTAAGAGTTTCAGAATAATCATTCAAACGCCATAGACGAAAACGAACACGCGTATGATTATCTTCTATGTGAAGAAATTTTTTTGTTTGTTGTCCATAGCCAAATCACAACCGATTGGAATTTTTTCTGTCGACGACGGTTTTTTTTTTTTTTTTTTTTTGATGCGATAAAAATACGAATATTATTATCATCATCAAAAATATAATCAAATTTACGACCATTTTTAAATTAAAATTGGAATGGATCCATCGTTCCATCCTTCTCGTCATCATCATCATCATCATCATTTTACTACCTATAATTTCATGAGGATGATCATAAAAAAAACTTGAATGAATGCGTAAAATGAAATTTTTTCATCAATAACTTCTTTGTGTTTGTGTGTGTGTTTTACCATGTCAATTAAATTAATCATCACCAGAATCTATCCGGTTATTATTATTGAGAATTATCCATTGATATTATCGCCCTAGACAACGAATAACGATTTTTTTTTTCTCTCTCTCTCTCTCTCTCTCTCAGATTGAAAATTGTCAATTGAAACAAAATTCTTAAGCCAATTTTCAATCGTTAAAAGACAAGAGAAAAATTCTTCTTGTTACCACATAACAAACAAAACCAACACTAATCAACAAGAATATTATTGGCTTACACAAAATTGATGATGATCGAATGTTAATCTTCTTAATGTGTTTTATTATTATTTTTCGCTGAATTGTTTTTATATTGAAATAATAATGATGACGACCACAACGATCTGACAACAACAAAAATTGTCCTAATTGTTCATTGATGATGACCAATCATCGATCGATTTGAATCGATTTTATTTTCTATCTATCTCTTTGGTCCAACTGTAATAGTGATCATTGATGATGATGATGATGACACTACTTGATCATCATAATCATTCAAAACATTTGAAATTGCCACAAGTGATTATTTGGTTTATTCATTGACCAAAAAAAAAATTCACCTTATTTTCATTCAAAAAAAAAGACAAATTCCAATTCCGATTCCGATCAACAAACGAAAAGCAGAAAATTGAAGAAGAATAAAAAAAAACAATGGCGCCTTATCATTCTTGTAAGTTTCAAATGATGATTTTTCTATATTCTTTGAACAAGAATTTTTTTCAGAAAATTTTCCAATTTTTCTTTCGTAAACTTGAAATCAATTTTCAAATAAAGAAAAAATAAAAATAAAGAAGTTATCTGAGATGTTTTCCACGGTCGTCGTCGTTGTCGTCGTCGTCGTCGTTTGTTGTTTGTTGTTTGTAGAAATTGAATCGAATCAGATAAAAGTTAATTTCATCAAGATATATGATGTGTGTGTGTTTGTTTGTATATGAAAAAAAAGACAAACGAGTCAATTTTTTATTTCGGCCATCATAGATTTTGCTTTTTTTTTTCATTTTCAATCATCTTTGTGGATAAAAACTATAATAAATTTAATGCATCACTGAATTTCATCGTTTTGTTTTTTTTTTTGCTGGTTCAAAATTTCAAATCCATTTGTTCATAGGTCTGTTGTTGTTTTTTTTTCTCGATCCAGAAACCTAAAAAAAATGAATCATTTTATACTGTCCACTTGGATCATCAAATGATGATGATTGTTTATTGTTTGCCATCTGACCTAATCACATATAATGATAATCATCATCAAATAAATTCGAAAATATTTCTATCGGTGATATATTCGTCATTTATGAACAGAACAAAACAACATCATTTTGTTCGGTGTTTGTTTTTTCATTATTCGAATTTTTGTTTTCTGTTTTTGTTTGTCCGAAATAATGTATTTTCGATGAAAATATTGATGAGATAAACATTGATGGGCATTATCTTTGATTTTTTTTCATCATCATCATGATCATCATTAATGTGGTTAGAAGTTAGAAGTTTCATTTTCAAATGATGATTTTTTTTCGGCGTAATAAAAATTACAATGCCCTAATACTTTTAATCTATGTTTATTATTATGATGGAATATTCTTTTGTTGTTGTTGTTATTGTTGTTACTGATGTTGCTTTGCAATTCATTTATCTGTGTGTTTGTACAATGATGATGACGATGATGGTGATGATGAATATCTACACACATTGGCCATATATATTGGAATCGAATTAATTTTGCTCCCGGAAACATTTTTTTTTTATTCTCAACATCATGATGATGATGATGATGATCATAATTCAATTTTTTTGTCAATAATGTTTTGGCTTGAATAAACATAATCATCCCTACTTTTTTCTATCTTCTTGTCCGGAAAAAAAATAACCTGGATAGTATAAACAGATGAAAAAAAATTAGAGTAAGTAAACCTGTGTGTGTGTGTGTGGATAAATAAATTTTCTATAATTCATTTTCATTAATTAATTAATTAATTTATTCAATGAAACAGAAGAGAAAAACATGAAAAATTTCCACTCATAAACCTCTTGGTAATGATGATGATGATGATATGAAACAAACTCAAACAAACAATATTCTGGAACAACAACAACAACAACAAAAAGCATAGACAAACAAAAAAAAACCTGAAATGAAAAAAAAATATTTATCCACCACCGGATATCAGGTAGAAAAAAAAATGAATTCAAAAGTTCCAAATCAAAAGTATTTTTGCTGTACGAACGACCACCACCACCACCATCGCTACACCCTTGCACAACAGCATCCATCATATACAATATATATGATTTGACCAGCTGAATACTAATAATTCATTGAAACAAACAAAAAAAAATAATAATGATAATTGATAATCATCAGTAGATTGTTTTTTTTCTAATTTCGTTTTCCATATCATATTTATGATTGAAAACATACAAACCAGAAACATTGTAAATAGATAGATAGAGACATGTTCCATATGTGAATAACAAATCCGATTCCGGAAAGAAAAAAACAAAAAAAAAATTCCAATACGTGCCATAATGGTCATCATCATCATCATCATGATCATTAATATCATGATGATGGAATATATAATTATAATTCTTTGATAGAATTTATTTACAGATTGAATAATAATGAAATGAAAATTTAATGCAAACGAAAATTCATTTCATTCAGTGCAGAGATTACCTGCCTGATTCTTTTTTTCTTGGTCAATATTCTGTGTGTGATTAATATTTATTTACAATTTAATTTTGTCTGTTTTTTTTTTTTTTTTTTTTTTTTTTTTGATTCTATTATAGATTCTATTAAGCCAACTTTGACCAGATGTTTCTACACGAAGATGATGATGATGATGATGATGACTACAACAATGATTGTTTGTTTGGATCAAAATAATGATAAACAGAATGATTATCATCATCATACAATTATAATGAAAAATTCAAACATTCCTAATGATGATCAAATCATTATTGAATCACCATCCTTAGAAACATCGGCAACAACAATTATAAATCATAATATAAATTCTATTGTGGCCACTGAATCTTATTCATCTTCTTCATTTGATCATGTTGATCATAATAAATGGAAAAATATTTCATTAATACAACGATCACATCGTTCATTATTATCGTGGTAAATAATTGATTTCATCATCATGTTCAATATAACATGAAAACAAGCCTAGAATCATTATACTAATTAGTTATCATTTCTTTTCATTTTTTACTTATTTGAATCAAATATCGATATGAAAACCATCATATCAAAAAAAAAAATTAGGAATCATCATCAACAACAACAACAACAACATCGACCATACAATCATTGGAATCATCATCTTCAAACCAAAATAACAACAACAACAAATGTACAAGATGATGATGATGGCCAACAACTAAATGATTTAGATGAAATATCATCATTGAAAAATCAAAGAAAGCAACATCTGCATCCTAATGATGATAATGAACAGGATGATAATGATAAAATTAAAAATCATCATCATCATCGAAATCACAATCATCATCAGCATCAGCATCATCAGAATCATGACGCAAGACACGTCATTTCAGCAACACCAAATAATTCAGATTGGCCAAATACAATGAAAAATATAACCGTTACTGCTGGTCGTGATGCAACATTTGAATGTGTATTTCCAAAATTAAAAGATTTTCGTGTAAGTCATTCATTGGTTTTGTGTGTGAATGAGATGATAATTCATTATTTGAATAATGATGATGATTATTATTATTCTTACACTACTTCCTGTTCAATGTACTTGAATCCGGTTGTTCGACAGCAGCCGGGTAGATAATTATTATCATTATTATGGCTGCTGCTGCTGCTGCTGCTGCAACTGTTGTTCATTGAAATTAAAAAAAAAAATTCAATAAATCTTTGAATAATAACATTTTTTGACCTTTTTTTATATCTTAGTTAGAATTTATTCTTTAATTAACTCTTATAATAATAATAATAATAATAATTCTTTCGATTCAATTTAAGACGCACACACACACACATGGAATTCTACAATTCTACAATTCTTAATCATTACTTAGCTTTGGTCACATTATTTTTTATTTTTTCTCTTCTTTTTTTTAACCCATTGTGTGTGTGAATGTTTTGTGTTTTTTTTTTTTTTTTGAACAATATTCTGATGCTGAATAAGCAAATAATATGCGATTGTATGTGCTATACATTACATACATACAATCGCATATGAAATGTTGAGAATTGAGAATAAAATAAAGAGTTAAACGATGATGACAACACAAAAGATCAATTTAGTAAATTTGAGATATGAGAACACTGAACATACATACACAGAAAGAGTGTGTAGTAATAATAAAATGGATTCTGGCCTGGTTGTTGTAGCCAATTCTAACAACAACAATTTCAATGACGATAATAAAAAAAAGAAACGAAATATATCCACATATGAATGAATAAAATGGAATGAATGAAATGAATGAATGATGGACAGCCTAAAAATGAAAAACAGATTCCACCATATTTAATTGTCATGACTGATTTGTTGTGTTACAATCGTTTGTTGTACAGCAGCAGCAGCAACAACAACAACAAAAGAAAAAAAATTCACAATCGGTCTGTCGGTTGGTTAGTCGTCGACCTTCAACATTATCATCATGATCATGAATAATCCCGGCCTTTTTTTATGGGTTTCATTTTTCCAATTGAATTGAATCTGTAATATGATGGGGTTACAAATAGAATAGCCATCATTTAGCGAATGAGTAAGAAAATTTCGAACAAACCGATGTTGTTTGTCACTCAAATTTTTGTTGCTCTACTTATTCTTGGAATTGAGACTTGTCTTTGTGTTTTTTTTTTCTTCTTCTTATGAATCTTGAAAAATTGGAATTGCCAAATAGAATGTGATCATTTCATCAACAACAAAAATAATAACAAAAAATGATAAATGAAAGTGTTTTTTTTCTGTTTTGTTTTCCAGTTGCCATAAATTCAATCCTTTTTAACCCGTTCCAAAAAAAAAAAAAAAAATTTTTTGTTGTCATAGAATTATTATACATTGTTCCATTTATGATTTTCATTCAATTCTGTATAGAGAATTTTTTTTTCACTGGTTTCTTCACACTAGAATTCCAAAGAATTTTCTGTTTCTTTATTTTTTGGTTTTCGAAGAGGAAAAAAATTCTTAATTCTCTTCTATAATCGATAATATTGGCGGTGAACAAAAAAAAAAAAAAACAAAAGAATTTTTCTATTTCAATGAAATGAAACAAGCTAAAAACAAAAAAAAAATTTGCAAAATCCTTTCTCAGGGAGATATTCCGGATCCATTCATCCGTTTTTTTTTTTTCGTTGGGTAAGAACGAAAAAATGGGGGAAAAAATGGAAAATTTAACTTTAATTTAATTTAATTTCGACCAGTTGTTCATCATAATCATGATGATGATGATCATCATCATTTCAAAATGATAGAATCGTCGAAAATTGGGCAACTTGTTTCAAACAGAGAAAGAATTTTTTTTTTTTGATTGATGAAATTTTTTTTTTTTTTTTTTGGTTTTCACAATACTAATGCTTAGCCTGCTTAGCGGTTATGATTTTTTTCTCCAGTTATGGATCATTTTTATTTTCTATTCTGGATCATTTCGTGTGCGTTCGATCCGAACACACAAACACACACACACACACACACATCAGTTTATCGATTTCAATTTTTTTTTTAATGCAACACATCTTCAAAACAAAACAAAAAAATTCGATACTTTTTTTTCGATCCTGATTAATAATCCTTATTTCATGCATTGTAACACCCACAATATATTCGAGGATATGATGATGAGCGTACATGAATCCAAACAACAAAAAAATCAATCAATTTGATGATCTGGTTGGTTGGTTGGTCGATCTGCCTGACTAGATGACCAATAGATGGCCAATTAGCACCATATTATTATCTTTAACGAAAAAAAAAAAGAATCCAAATGCTTATCATACAAAGAAAGAGAGAAACAAAAAACAAGTCTAACACACACACACACACACAGTGATATTCCCTTCAATCTTTTTTTTTCCTATTGAAAAAAATGATGTGACAACAACAATATTGACATCCCAGAATATACACACATATACCACAACAAATAGACACACACACATACACACAAAGAAATGCATCATTCTGTGAATAATAATAACAGAATGACAGAATGAATAGAAAACTTATGAAACGATGATGATGATGATGATGACATCAAGACAATCGTTGTGAAATGGAATGTTATTCTCGAGTGCATGTAATTGTGATTGTGGAACAATGACATATAACTATATGAAATGTTTTGCTAAATGTTTCTTGAATAGCAGCAGTAGCAGCAGCAGCAGCAGTTTTCACTATTTGTTGTTGTTGTTGAAAAGCAAGCGAAAAAATTTTTTTTTTTTAAAAAAACTTGTCAAAAAAGACTTGTGTTGTCTGACAAGTTTAATATCATCATCACCAACTGAACAATAATTGTAATAATCTATTTTGATGATGATGATGATGATGATTGTTGAGTAATGAAGAAAAAGGATGAAATGTTTTAGAGATATCGCGCATATATATTGGATTAAATTGAATTAAATTAAATTAAAAAAAAAAATGAAACTGGAATTGAATCGTTTATGGTCTTCTATTTTTTTTTTGTTGTTTTGTTTTGTTCATCAACATATGTTTTATTTTATTTTTTTTTTTTTTTTTTTGAATTCGTTTTTTTCGTTTTTTTTTTTTTTTGGTTTGTTCTCGGACAGCTGGTCTGGTTTCATCAGGATCATCATGTATTGTTAGCCATGCATGATACGGTTATCAGTAAAAATGGACGTATTTCAGTACGATCACATGCGAATACAACATTCTATTTGACCATACATGATGTACAGGAAATGGATCGTGGTTTTTATATGTGTCAAGTGAATACAAAACCAATGCGTATACAAATCGGTCATCTAGAAGTGAATGGTAAGTTTGTGTGTGTTGAATTGTTGATGAAAAATTATCATTTTTATTTTTCTGGTTTATAATTATGATTTTAAAACAAAAAGTTCCACCATCATTTATTGAGGAAAAAACTAGTTCAGATTTTGATATAACAGAAAATTCATCGGCAACATTACATTGTTCAGCAAATGGACGGCCAGAACCACAGATTTTATGGCGTCGTGAAGATGAACAACCAATTCAATTGGATTCACAAACAAATGATTGTAAGTAAATCTATAATGAATTGATCAATTATTGGTGATTAATCATTGCATTCATTTCATTTTAAAAGCATCGTTGACAATCAAAGGTCAACATTTGAATTTAAAAAATGTTTCCAGACATCAAATGGGTAAAATCAAAAATTTTGTCTTTTTTGGTTTTATATTGAATCTCTAATGTAAATGCGATATATGGTTTGCTATATATAGGTGCCTATCTTTGTATTGCTTCCAATGGTATATTACCAACCATAAGTAAACGAATATTTCTTGGCGTCAGCTGTAAGTTTATATTTAAATTATGAAAAATTTTGAAACATTCCTTTTATCCTAATTAGTTGCACCAATAATATGGACAAATAAACGTATGGTCGAAGCAATAATCAATGCCAATCCTACAATTGAATGTCATATTGAATCCTATCCAAGGGCTAATGTTTATTGGCAAAAAAATAATCAATTACCACCAATTGTTTATAGTGATAGGAAATATACATTATCGATGAATGAAAGTATCATTTCCTATAGATTTATTGCCAGGTAATACATTGTTTTTTTTGTTGTAATCAAAAAAAAATTAACATTTTGTTTCATTAGGCTCAAAATTAGTGATATACAGAAAAATGATTTTGATAAATATAATTGTATAGCTAAAAATAAAATGGGTAGTGAAAAAAATTTTGTACAACTATTGGAAAGAAAACGGCCACCATCTACAAGGCGACCAATTAAACCACAACGACCAACAACTATCATACGAAAATATCAAAATCAGAATCAGAATCCGAATCAAAAGTCAAATTCAAATTTATATGAAAACAAACAGAATCATAATTTAGATAAGCCAACTAAAACATCGGAAAATATGATTATTAAAAATGTTCATCAGTCTCAAGATCATCAAGGTAAACATTACATTTGAGGAAAACCCATATATATGTCAACAATGACTTATTTTTATTTTTATTTTCATTTCCATTTTTTAATTTCGTCAGACTTTACTATGAACATTAATAATAACCGAAATCATCTTCACGATGATGGCAATGATAATGATGATGATGATGGAAATGAAATTTGGGAATATGAAACAAATTATATGGCACCAGAATTGACACCTGGAATGAAAATAAATTCATCATTATCAATAACTAATGGCCACCATCAACGACTTGGATCAATTATTATCATAACTATTATTATCATCCTTTGCTCATCACTGTGTTACAATCACGATTGATTAATCAATTTTTCACTTCTATAATTATTTCATACTTATAATTTCACATACACACACGCACACACATTTACAAACCTTGTATAATGAAAATTCAGATTGAAAATTGTACAAAATTGACTTATCGGCCATCAATTCTTGAATGATTTTGATTGTTTTAAATTCTAACATTTGTATACATTGACGATGATTACATTTGAAATGGAAAAATAAAATTTTTCCCTTTCAATTTAGAGGAAATGGATGTTGATGTTTGATGGAAGTGGTGGTGTTGAAATACAAAAAAAAAAATAAAATAAAATGTAAAACAAAAATGAAAAAATGAAATGAAATTTGATGCAAATGCAAAGTTTTATATTTATTTATTTAAATTTAAAACTCTCTTTCTCATCATCAACATGAGATTAATATTTACTTTTCACAATCTTTGTTCGTCAAACAAACAAACAAACAAACACAAACGAATCGAATAAATTTTTTTGGTTTCCTCAAATCAATACCGCTAACGCTAGATGGCAGCCTGATTTTTTTTTAAATTAATATTTACATTTCATTATTATCATCTTCCTTTTCTTCACCGATGGTTGAAAATTGACGAAAATTTTCATATAATGGAATTTCATCCGATTGTTTATTATCACCACCATCATTAGCCATGTTTGACATTAACGTAACATCAACATCAACATCACCGTCATCATCATCATCATCATCATCATCTATAATGATTTCATTCGCAGAGTTATTATTTGGTTCATCATCCTGATAATGTCTTCTATCGGTTGTCGTCGTCTTCGTATGTGTATCCGGTTTTTTGACAGAACGTATTGTTGATTTTTGAAAACGTGAAAATCGATTCGATAAGGTTCGTTTCTTTAATCCTCTTGTTACGCCACCCATCATAATTGCTTGATGTGTCATGACCTTTTTTATATATTTTTTTTTTTTTTTTGGACAAATAGAAAAATCAAAAAGAATAAAAATCATGGATATAAATACCTTTTCGCCGTTCACTTGTTGTTGTTCTTTTCTTCGTAACAAAACTTCATTATCGCTTTTCGAATGAATATTATGAAATTCATTTGGCCCAAAATTATCCTGTGGATCGGCAAAATAATCCTCATAACTTTGTAATACATCATTGCCGAAAAATTCGGCCGTTTCATCCGGTAAACGGAGATCGGCAATCAATGTAATAATACCGATTATAATGCATAATATTCCATTGATTAGATTGATATAAAAACACCATGAATAATGTGTGATTAAGAAACCATTTTCAAATGCCAATGTTAATGGTATTGAATAATGTAAATAGAACATCATGACAAAATTGGCACTCAATAAACTAATGCCAGTGAATATAATGAATAATGATCCATAATAGATGACCATTTGAAATAGTATATTGCACAAGATGAATAATGGTATAGCCGTCCTTGAACAACATGAATGAATAACGATTAATCAAATCCGTACATTGACTTAATTGTATACAAAAATAAATACCAAAGGAATATATGTGCCAGCCAACCGGCTTGCCGATAATATCGACCAATATGTATTGATTCATAATCAATTGTAAATGTTTCAGCTACCCATAGAATTGGATATGGTAGGCCACGAAATTGTGCACGACGATAATTTTTTTGTAGACTACCAGCTTTTTTTCAAATCACAAAAAAAAAGAAAAGAAAAACATTTTTTTTATAGAATTAAAAGACAGATCTACATCCAACAAACAAACAAACAAACCATCATAACCAAAACCAGGTTTTCCTTGTGACCATGTCCAATCAAAATATTCATTAAAATCAATCGTATCATTATGTTGATTGATTGGATTGCCAATCAATGTAATATTGATACCACTTAGTCCAATATCAAGTCCAATTGTTGCATCAATTTTTAAATTTCGTCCAAAACGATATGGCATCTGTGATCGTATCTGTCCACGTTCCCAATATGGCATCAGATTACAATCTACAATCAACAAAACAAGAATAATTTTTATTGAAAATCAATCAATTGAATAAATATATTTACAAAGTATTAGAAACAAAATGACCAAACTGGTACTCCAACGTAATACGACCGAAAATTTCTATAAATAATAAATCAATCAATCAATAATTAATTATTTATCGATCATATCAAATTTGATAAAAACATCAACAAAGACACACCTTGCCACGAAATCCCGGAATAATAATTAAAAAAGCCAATAATGCGGCTGTAAATAATGCAACCAAACGAAATAAATTGATATCGATCCAAATTTTTGGCAATCCATTATATTTATAAAATGTTGGATAATGTTCCTGGCGGAATATCGAAAATATTTCATCATTAAACATTATGATCAATATATAACCATTTAATTACACCAAAGACGCTCACACACAAACACTGAATATAAACAAAAAACAAAAAAACTTTATTATTCTTGATGATGATGATGATGATGATGGCTCATCAATACACACACAATGAAACCGGATATAGCCTTCAACACACACACACACACACACCGACACACAGTCAACCGGATACATTTGTCAGGAAATGAATGATTCAAAGAATATTTGGCGGCAATATATATGACAAAAAAAAATTCGCTGTATAAACACAAATACACACCGTAATATATAATGTTTCATCATCATCATTTTTATTTAGAAAAAAATTTCATTTTTTTTTTATTTAGAAATGAATGAAAATAAAATGGAAAAAAATTTGTTGTTGTTGTTGTTTCAATTCTTTCACAGAATCAGCTTTAAAAAAACACAAAAGACGTGTGTGTATGTGTGCGATTTTTTTTTATACAGGCGCACATATAGATTATTATTATTAGAGAGAGAACACAGTTAACAGATTTTCATTATGAATAATACAGATTCATTCATTCATTTTTTTTTACCAATAAAAATGCATCATTCTCTCATTCATCACACTTTTTTTTGGTTATAATAATGGTTTTTTTAAAAAATAAATAAGAATTTCGTAAAATTAAAAAAAAAATTCGGATCATATCAAAAAAAAAAAATTCGATGATAATAATGAAGAATGAAAATGAATGATAATAAAAGATAAGAAGAAGAAGAAAAAAATGTAAGTTTTGGTTTTTCATCAGTTTGTCTGTGTGTGTGTGTGTGTGTGTGTCATTCACCATTTTCTTTCGTTCCATAATCATCATCATCATCATGATGATGATGCATGCATTATGTTGAATTGTTTTTTTTTATATGGTAGTGGTGGTGGTGGTGGTGGTTGGTGTAAATATTCATATGATGTGATTTATGTACACGACGACCAACATTATTTACCTCGAAAATTTTAAATAGGCAAAAGTGTTAAAGGTTTTGAATTGAAATTAGTTTTCATTTGAAAGAAAGCCCTAATTTATCGCTTTGTTTTCATGGTGATAATGATAATTTTTCATTTGTTGATTGTTTTATTTTGATATTTTTCTTTCTTTTGAAAGTATTTTGGTTGAATTGTTTTGTTTTTTTTTTATTACGATTGATTCGTAGTCGTTGTTGTAGATGCTGCTGTCGATCCAGAGGCAGGTAAATCGACCGATATGAATTTTTTGAGTCGCTCTAAATATTGACAATATAGCTCGATATCATTGTGGCCAGCACCTTCAACCCATAATGGTTCAACTGCATGTGGACAACGTTCATAAATAGCTAGACCATGTGAAAAATCAATCACTTCATCTTCGGTACCATGTATTACTAGTACTGGTGAATTAATTTTTGGAACTTTATCGATACTATAATTGATAAAATAAAAAAATTCCATAAATTAATCTTGAAGCAAATATTTTCAAAATAAAAATACCTTGGAAAAGCATCAAAAAACCATGTACGTTTTGTATTAGGAAATGCAACTCTCATACCAGACATTAATGGTGAATGTAGAATAACGGCACCTAATTCATAACGTGAAGCTAGATCAACAGTAGGTACCGTGCCTATACTTTGGCCATAAAGAATAATCTTATCCGGACTAACACCATATTTACTTCGTAGTGTTAACCATGCGGCATTAATATCAGCATAAAGATTTTTTTCGGACGGTTTTCCAGTACTGGCACCATAGCCAGAATAATCATATGAAAATATGTTACAATTGATACGAGTACCAAGGCCAAGATAAAAGCTGCTCATTTGTCCTAAATCAACCGCATTACCATGGCTAAACAATAACGTATATTTAGGATTAGCCGTTGCTCGTACATACATGCCTATATTTTAATTGATAAAATAAAACAAAATCATTATCAACGCCAAAAAAAAAAATGAATATAAACAATCAAAAATCAAACATCAAAAACAATGTGCATGCATTAACAACTTACATGCAATACGATTACCACGGCTTGATTGAGCATATTGAACTTCGAAACATTCTAATTCACGTTGTGTATATTGCCAATCGGCACGTTCAGAAAATTTTAATGTTAATTTCGATGAATGATTATCATCTGGTATGATTGTATATGTTGGTTCCGGTGGTAAAAATGCTAATTTAGCCGCAATACGTGCTGGACATGGTGGACAACAGAATAGACAACATAATTCACTTAATGTTAATCCATTCATTTTTTGAGCATTTGGTGATGATGTTGCTTCGATAACAATATTGTCGTTGTTGTTGTTGTTGTTGTTGTTGGTGTTGGCTACGTTTGTTTCGTTGGGCAATGATGCCTGTCTTGATATTGAAGACATTAATTGTATATGGGTCACTCTATCAATCAAAAACGATAAATTCGAATTTTTTTAAATTCCACAATTGTTATTGTATTCGATTCGAATAATAATTGTTTCCAATTATAAAAATTAACGCCCCCCGAAAAATTATTACCATTCACAATGATGATGATGATTATTATTATTGGTAATTGGAGTATTGTTTGCCAATAAAATTCGGCCAAAAAATACACGTAATTGCTTTGTGATTTTGGTTATTATTATTTCTTCCAAAAAAAAAGAATCTTAAAATAATCTTGAGTACAGACAATTCAATTCATTTTTTTTTACTCTTTCTTACTCGGGAATGATATGATGATTGTCAATTTAATTAAACTTTGGTGATGTTTGATACGTTCAAGTAATGATTGCTTCAATTATTGTTGTTGATCATCATTATATGTGTTGTTTATAATCAATCGATCACCATCGAAACAACAACAACAACAAGAAAAAATGATGTATCGATCATCTGATTTTGATATTTGAATCTTTATGATTAATCATTATTTTTTGTTTGTTTGTTTTTTTCGTTCCGTCGAATTTCATTGATGATGATGATGGCGGCGTGGCTGGTTATTAAATTTTATTGGTTATCGTTTGTGTGTGTGTGTGTATGTGATTTATCATTATGGAAGTGAAAATTGAGACAGTTGATGATGATGACGAATGATTAGTGGTAGTGTACAGACAAGCAAGTAGGCAAATGAAGAGAAAAATTAGGAATAAAGAAAAAAAAACAAACAAAAATACTTGCTTATTGTCTGAAATTCTGGGAACTTGTTCAATTTATATTGAATTATTATATAAATATTCTTCAAATATTCAAAGTACTAGATAGTATATTGTCCCAAAAATAGACAAATTATACATACAAACAAACAAACAAAATAAAACACCAACAATTGACAAACAAGATATGAGGGAAAAAAGAAGTGGTAAAAATATTTTTGTATATTTCACACGCAGACACACACACACACACACATGAACACATTTAAAATGTCTCACTATATGAAGAATATTTTCAAGAATGAAGAATTATTTTCAAATTCACATGTACTATACAACAGTAAGATAGCCAAAGAAATGAAATATAAATTACACATTTTCAATGAATCATCATCATCATCATCATCATTATTGAATAACCATCAACAACATCATTGTTGCCATATAGTTTTGATGTATATGGAATTATAGTTTTACGGGTTGTTGGCTCACACCAAAAAAAAAAAAAAAAAAAGCAAGACCAACAACAACAACAACACCACCACTGACAACGAACGAAACACACAAAAAATCAAAAAAAAAAAAAAAAATTTGAGAACAACAAACCGGCTCTCATCAACAATGTGCAAGAAATTCAGGATTCTTTACTCTTGTTAACAGTCGCCATCTAGTATCTTTGATTTGAATTAATTGAAATTTAAATTCTTTTATTATTATTATTATCATTCTCTTTGTTATTGTTTGATTGAATTGGTCAGAACGAAAAATCATTCATTTGACCATTTGACCTATACAACTGTTGGTTTTAATTTTTAGTTTGAAATTTATTTTTATTTTTGTACATTGATCATCATCTGCTGGTCATCATTGGAACACACGTTTTGTGTGTGTGTGTGTGTGTGTGTGTGTGTGAGGACAATCATCGGATTTCAATGATGATTGTGATAATTGCAAAGATTTTTTTTTTGTGTTGGGTTTTGACCCAGGACCCGGTGCTTATGTGCACACACACACACACACACACACGCCAAAGGTCATGTCATATACATAGGAATTTGTAATAAAAACATTTTTTTTTCTCTAACAGAAGCCCATAATCTATATAGTAAAGGCAGATGCCGAGTTTCTAAATTTGGATTTTATTTTTATATTTGTAGAACACCTTTTTTTTCGTTTTTGGTTCGTTTTTATTTTCTCGAAGGCTATAACGGGACACCATCATCTACTACCAAAAAAAAAAAAAAAAAAAAACATTTGGTCAGCGAAACACGAGCAAGTCGCGCGATCTACGATTATATATACCGTTCTTTCTTTCATTTCTATTCGTTTAATATTGTTGTTTGTTTGTTGTCTCGACATTGACACATCATCGACCTGGCTTGGTTTGGTTTCCTGTTGGCTTTTTATTTGGTTGCATTGTGCATGTGTGCGTGTGTGTGTGTGTGTCGAGATTTTTTTTTTTTATTTCAAACAATCTCTAAACACACCGGCACACGACAAAAATATAATAATACCTACTACACATAGGCTTTTGCTTTTTTTTTGGATGAAAAAAAATAGTAATTTTCTAAGAACCCATGTGCATGACCTTGAATCATCATCATCATCATCATCATATGGACCTTATGGTCAATTATAACCAAATAAAAAGAGTGAACAACAAAAATGTGTGCATGCAACAACAAATGGACAGCAAATATGGTCCCGTTATATTTTTTTTTTTTTTTTTAGAGAAAGAAAAAAAATAGACGACTGATTGTTCATTGTCCATTTTCTTCTTTGCTTAAATCCTTTTATCACAATTTTTGTGTGTGTGTGTGTTTATTTTTTTCTCGTGAACAACAACAACAAGTTGTTGGGATCATTGTGGGGTCGTCGACAAAACAAAAAAAAAAAATATCCAAATAATCGTGCAGTTTGCAGCTAATAATAATGATAATGTCTAAACACGTATTTTTTCTGATTGAATGGAAGAAAAAAAATGACTATAAAATGAACTCGTTTAGGTCAATCAACTCTTTCGTTTCACCTTTTTTTTACCATTCATTCATTCATCCAGTGATCTCAGTCATGATGATGATGATGATGATGATTCACATTGAATGACTACAAAAACATTCATTTAATTCATGAATTTATGTTTGGCCCTTTTTTTTACATTCACACAAACTTATGACCTAAAATAAATTTTTTGTTGTTGTTGTCCATTTGTCATATATGAAAGTTATTTGTGTTCGTTTTTAGAGGATTTGTTTCTTTGGATGGATTGAGATTCAAAATTCTTCGGTCATTCAATCCACAGAAAAAAATGGGACCTAGTTTTTGTTTTGTTTTTTGTTTGTTTGTATCCAGGATTTTTCTTTTTATTTTTGATCCATTTTTTTCTTTCTGTCTGTTTGTCTTGTATTGTTTTGTTGACCTTAATGGTCATTCAACATTGATTATGTGTGGATCACATCAGGCCTGGTCATTATCTGGTGATGACCAAAAGGCTGCTGCTGCTGCTGCTAAAGACGCATATGTTTTTCCTGTTTTTCAAAAAAAATCGATTGTTATCCAAAAGAAAAAATTGTAACGAACAAAAAAAAGAAAGATGTCTGGAGAAGAACAAAGAAAAAAAAATTCGAAGGTTAAGCCAACATCATCCATTTTTTCACCAAAAAGAATGATTCCACTAAGGTGTCGTGTGCCTGTCTCGTGCCACTTAAGTTGATTGAATTTTCTTTCGATTTCAATTGATCACACACACACACACTGGCCTCGCCTAAATCCCGCTAGATTTTTTTTTATCATTGTTGTTGTTGTTGTCGATATCACTTTCACCATTCGATCTCGCCCTTTTCCGTTCTTTTGTGTTGTTGTTGTTGTTGTAGTTTTTTGAATTCATTAATAAAAAAAACGTTTCTCGGGATACACACCCTTGAAAATTTCTATTTCAATTTTTCGTTTTCAATTTTCATATTTTTTTTTTTTAATTTTTTCCTGGTGGTTGCTGTTTTTTCTGGCAAATGAAATTTAAAAATTTTTTCTTCAAAAAACAAAAAATTTTGTCGTTCCAAGAACAAATGTGAATTTTTTTTTTGGTGGGGGGAGAGAATCTTTAAAAATCCGTTATTATTCGTTTGTCAGCTGTCTATCATTGAAAATAATGAGGTAAAGGTCAAGAAGGTCGTTCTAGGTATATATCATCATCATCATCGACCAGAAATTGTATCATTAACATTGACTGTTGAAGATGAAAATAAAATTGGGACATGAAAAAAAAATTGGAAAAAAAGAGAGAAAGCGATAGTATATTGTTGTTATTTGAATCATTCAATCAAATACAAACCGGGAAGAGAAAGTTTTTTTCATTCATTCATTCATTCAAATAAATAACAAGCCCATAAAAAGAGTGAGTGAGAGAGAGAGCCAAAGGTTGACATTGAAAATTACAAACAATAACAATACACGTAAACTTTCTTTTGCATCTGTTCCATATATATATAATATATATATATGGTGTAAGTCTGTATGTGTAAGGACCAAATTCGGAAGAGGGTTGCAAATTTTTTTCCCACATTTACCGTTTTGGCCCAGGTGTATTCAACACAATATAATACGATGATGATGATCTTAAAGGTTAGAGCGGTAAATTGAAAATTTCCAATGAATAAAAAAAAATTGATTTGTACCTTTGTATTGTTGCACGTGGTACACACACACATCACACATTGGTTTTTCTCTCTTTCTTTTGGTGATGCATTCCATTAGACAGACAGAGAGAGAGAGAGAGAGGAAGGCGTTTATCTATTCATTTTGGGGTAGTAGTCTAAGCAACAGGTAATATCTATCGATACATATACAACGTATGAAACAGTGGAGGAGGAGTAAGATTATGTATTGTATATATACGAAAGGGGCGTTCATCAAATTCATTCAACAAGTTGTCATCATTCAATTGATAATGCTACTACAACACATTTACACACACACACACATATATACTACTGTTAGAATCGAATGATATACCCCCTTTTTCATCTTTCATTTCAATTATTATTCTTCATCCCTCTCTCTCTCTCTCTCTCTTACACTCTCATGTGTACACCGCACAATCAATTCAAAATTTTTTTCCAGATACCCGAAATAATTGAAAAAAAGCAGCTAAAAAAGTGGAAGAAGAAAAAACTTGACTTGTCCACCTTAGGTTTTGATTCATCATCATCATCAACATCGAAACATCGAAAACATGTAATGTTGAGATTCAGATATATTGATGATCATAAACTATACATACACAAAAAAAACATACAGAACAGAAGACATTGATAAACTAGAACTAGTGGTCGATATATGATGTTGTTGTTGTTGTTGTTTTTGATTGTGGTGATAATAATAATCATGATGATGTTGATGACGATGACGATGACGACCACCACCAGTTGAATCAAACAAAACATTTCATGCACACAAACATACTCATGTCACACTATATCATCATAAAAGATCTCGTAGTTTCATTCCATCACATCTCAACATCGACAAGAAAAAAAAACATTCGGACATTCGAATGTGAAAAAAAAACTTGGCTTCAATTTTTTTCAAAATCCAAAACATTCACAATGAAAATTTTTTCATAATTTTGTGTGTCTGTCTGTGTTTTTCGAATAAATTTTGTGAATTTTCATCTATAGATTGAATTTATTTTTTTTTTTTTTTCATTCAAATTTCCTTCATTCCATTACATCATTGAGACAAATTGTTAAAGAAAAAAAATTTCAATGATTCGATCCGATAAAATGCGTACTACATGTAAGTTTTTTTTCTAAAATTATTTTTGTTCTGTCTTTTTTTTGTTATTGATTGAATAAACAGACAAACAAACAAACAAATTACAATTATCAATCAATCGATCGATTGAATGAAACCGCGTGTACAACATTCGAATTTGAATGTTTGTTTGTTTTTACAACAAAACAAAAACCTTCGAATGATCTTGAAGTGAACAACAACAACAACAGCAACAAAAAAAAATTAATGACAATATATTGAGAAGGATAATAATTTACCCCCCGTCTTCCCTTAAAAAAAATCATTATCAGCATCAGAGAGAGAGAGAGAGAGAGAGAGAGAGAATTTATGGTTTTATTCTGAAAAAATTCAATCTAACCAATCCTTTCCATTATTCATATCACGAATGAATGAATTTTTATGCTATTATAATTAGTGACAAATTAATCATTTGATGATTGCTTTCACTTTTTTTTCTCTTTAATAATTTTGATGATGATGACCTTGGTAATTTAATTTTAATTTTATTTTTTTCATACAGAAAAAAAAACTGAATGTTTCTAATGATGATGATTTTGATGATGAAATGTATAAAAAAACAAAACAAAACAAAGAAAAAATGAATAAATACCAAATCGGTAATGTAGCATAGTTCCGCCATTGAGTACACATTTATTATGGCCCAAAAAAGAAAGAGAGTAATAGAATGTGTATCAAAATTGTTACCATTAAATATTGGATTTGCTTTATATATTCATTCATTCATTCATTTTTTTCTCTTGCACTCTTGAAGGCAAGCCCTTGGCATTGATTCATGATGATGATGATGATTTGACAATTGTTTATCGTCATTTTTTTTTCTATCGTCTATCCATTCAATCATGTCGATTTTTATTTTCGTTGATCACAATGAACTTGAAAATGAAAAGGAAAATATTTTTTGTACTTCTTGTATTCCAAATCCGTCAATCATTGTCAATATTTCAGCCAATCGGTCATATTCAGTCAGTCACCCTGTGTGTTTGAATGCTAATTAACATTTGACAAAAAAAAAAAAAATTCAAAATTATCAAAGAAGCAATGAATTCTTGTGTTTGTGTTTGTGTGTGAACAATGAATTTGATCCAAATTTAGAAACATTTTTCGAAAGAATTTTTTTTTTTTCTTGCGGGCAAAATGGTTTTAGGCACAAAACAACCATCAAGTTGACAATTTGTTTGAATGTGTTGTGTCAACCCTTTTAAACATTCAATTGTTTTGTGTTTTATTTATATGTATATAGAGAGTGAGAGATATCATGGTCATTGCCATATTTGTTTGTTTATGGAGCAAAAAAAAATTTGTTAGTTCCCAACTCTATGGGCCATAAACACTGAAATAATGATAATAATTCATTGCCATTGACTAAAACAAACCAAACCTAATCGGTATAAATGACAACAACATATGCTAATGATATTGATGATGATGATGATGATGATGATGAATTGTTTTTAGAATCATGTATGTAGTGATCGTTGTTGTTGTTGTTGTCTGAAATGACATACATTTTATAAATTTCAATCATCATCATCATTTCGGATCATCAGTTTTTCGTTTTTCTCTTCCTTGTCCTCTCTTTTTTTTTCTTGAAAAATTTCTGAGCTTGATACTGATGGCTTCACTATGTGCTTGTGGTCGACATCGTCGTTGTTGTTATTGTATCGTTCCCATAACCCGATATATAATAATAATATAATGGCCGCCGGTGATCATCAGCCTTGATCTTGGAAGTTATTTTATTTTTTTTTTTTTTTTACTTAAGACAAGTCGCACACACACACACACATACATAAGATCTAGTTCCATTCACAAATATACGGACACACACACTTTTATAACATAACATATATATATGTATGTATGTTTGTATGTTCCGTTAGAAAAATTTTGTCCATAATGTCTTCTTTATAATCCATTAATTGGTTGTAAAGGGATTTTTTTTCTCTTGCTTGTTGTGTGATTGTGAATTTTCAATGAATGAAATTTATCTTCTAGGCTAGCCTCCCTCTCCCTATATATATATATAATATATAAAATATATAAAGTGATTGTTATCAAGTTCAGGGCAAGTTTTCTTTTCTATGTTTGTGTCTCTCTGTGTGAGTGTTATATAATAATAATGTCGCCATTTGATTATTTCTTTTTCAAATGTGAATATAAAAAAAAGGGGAAGAAGAGAATAGGTCAACAGGCAAAAGAACTAGTTTTTTTTATTTTGTAAGTAAAAAAAATTTTGTTTTTTTTTCACTTGGTGAATCCATTCACATTTTTTTTTGTTGTTGTACAAATTTTCATTCCTTGTAAGTTTTATTTTATTTTATTATTTTTTTAAATTTTCATTAAGTTTGTGGTGAAGCAAGTTGTATCAAACACAAGTAGCAGCAGCAGCAGCAGTAGGGTAAATATGTTGTTTGTTTCACTTTATTATCATTTCATTCCGGTCGTTCTTGTTTCCTGAAATGTTTATTGATGATTGAATCTCTATGATGGTATAGATAGCGTGTGTGTGTGTGTCCGTTTTTTTTTTGAATGAATTTTTTTTTCGTTAAATTCATTTGGCCATGAAAATGAATTTTTTTCAATAGTTTCAAACACAAACATATATATTGTTTGCCCTTGATTTTTTTTTTGTTTTCATGGCGCCATTTGAATGAACACACACACACCGGGTCACCACGATGAATCCTTTTCTCTTGACTTGTTTGTTGTCTTCTCTTGCTATGATTATCATTGCTGTATTATATATATACTTTAAAGGGCAAATTTCCGCATTTTAGGATTCTCTTTACTTGTAATATTATCTTTTTTTTCTAAATTTCAATGTTGAAATGTATATCTCATCTTACTTACTATATACATTTTGGATTGTAATTTCAAGAACAAAGTTCTTGACACTGAAATATTGTACATACAGACAAACACGCACACACATCTTGATATTATCATGTTTTAATTGAAAATGATGATAATGATGTAGTATATTACTATCATCATCATTGATTGAATGATTGTTAACAATAATGATGATGATGATGATGATGATAATATCGTTGCTGATTGAACTTGACCATATCCCTGAATTTCAAAAAACAAACAAGAAACGTGAAATTAATTCATATGAATCTCATTATATCATTTGAGAAATCATGAATAAATTTTTGTGAAACAGTGGAATATACACTTAAGAATATTTTCTTTCAAATCCTATCGAAAAAAAAATAATCAAATGTAAATCTAATCCGATGTATTGTGATAAACATAACCATATAATCCACATTTTCTGGTTCATATCAACGATTTTTTTTCAAATGTTTTGTCTGTCTATATCGATATTGTTGTTCTGGTGACAATCTCAATGTCAACCTTTTTTTATATTTTATGTTGGTTGATTTATTTTCATTTTACCGGTTTTGCTTTAATAAATTGAAAATCGTTAACGCCCAAGGATAAACGTTTTTATTTTGTTGTTGATAATGATATTGGTGTGTGTATGATAATAATCATTGACATTGACAATGTATAATGATATGATAATAATAATGATGATGATGATGATGATGATGGATATAATTGGCATTGATCATGATCATCCACGGCCAATGTCAATGATAATTATCATTTGATCAGACAAACATTATATTTGTTTTTGTGTATGTGTGAATTTGTTGATTGATTAATTAGTTTATTCTAATTTTAATTGAATAATTAATTAATTTTCAATTTTTTTTATATTCATATATTTAGACGAGATTGATTGTCTTAAATTTAGCAAACTGTCAATCAGTTCGCCACCAAATTCTCGTAAAGATTATTCACGATCATCAGTGGTAGCTGCTACAAATGTAGCAGCCGCTGCTGCAGCTGCATCAATGGCAGCAGCTACTGTTGGACATCATCATCATCATCATCATCATCTACATCATAATCATCATCACCACAATCATCATCATCATCATCATCATCATCAAAATCATAATCGACAAAATATGAATGGTTATGGAAAACCATTATTGCCAAGGATTGATTTTCCTACCAGCCAATTTGATCGATTATTGCATATGGATCAAAAAGAATTTAATAATAATTCAAAGAAACATATTGGATTCAGATCAACAGCATATGATGATAATAATAAAAAGAATCATAAAAAATGAAGAATGAAAACAAAACAAAAAAAAAATTTCAACAATATGATTGTTGAATGATTCATGAGCCAAAAAAAAGAGCAAAGATTGAAAAGCAAAAAATCATTTTTTTTTTGTTTGTATATATTTTATGATCATCAAATTCACACAAATACCTTATCATCATTTACTCATTCAATTTGAAAATCATCTAATCATCTTATATAATATAATATATATTTATTATTCTTAATATATCAAATCTATCTATCAATCACATGATGATATTTATTTATTCTTTTTTTCTGCTGAATATTTATTATTATTATTATTATGATTTGAACTTTTTTTTTATCGAGCCATTGACACATACACACACAAACACATTATCAGAATACATATATATATCGATTACCATTTTTTCAGCCATTAATAAATAACAAGAGACATATGATGTCGAATGATGATGAGAAATAAACTTATTTTGTTTTCATCCATTTATTCTGTCAATCCTATATATCTATATTATACTTAGTACAGTGAAAAATTGATTTTTTTTCCTTGATGATGATGATGATGATGATACCTCATGACTCCACTGTATACCCTAACCTACACACACACACAAAAATTCGGTCGTTCATCATCATTGACCGTTGTTGGTAACCATTATGAATTTTATATGTTTTTTTCTATCTCTCTCTCTCTCTCACGACCTCAACCACAGATGACCGAGAAAAATGAAACAAAAAACAAAACAGCAAAAAAAAAAGATCCACAACCGGATACAAATATAAACAGAAAAACATGCATACAGACACACACACACACAAGAACAATTCTTTTGCCAAAGCTTTTAAAGCTCTGTTTCTGTACTGTTTAAACATCTTTTTTTCCCTTTTTTGATGCTACCACAGTCTCATCATCATCATCATCATCATAATAATGATGATAATAAAAATCAACGAAAAAAAAAAACAATGAACAAAACAAAAACCAGGAATAGGAAATGATCTGGATAAAAGAAAAACAAAATAATTAACCCCCTCTTTTTGAATACCAATGTTTTCTTTGGCTCACACACACACACACACACACACACACCCTGTTGCTCAACCTAAATATACACTTCATCATCATTATTATATGTCATCCATTCATTCCATTTCCTTTTTTTCGGGTTTATTTTCTTCAAAACAAAACAAAAAAAAACTTTTTTTTCTGTACACCAAAAGAATCACCTCTCTACTACCACCACCACCACCATCACCACTATCATTATCGTCGATCAACCAAGCAACCAACCTATCAACCCTATTTCAGGTTCACTAAAATGAACAACAATTTTTTTTCAAGACGAACAATGATGATGACTATGAAGATCTTATATGATTTTATGTTTCTTTGAATGGTTACACCATTCAAATTATACAAAATGTGTATGTGTCCTTGTTTACCCTAAAAACAAAATTCTAGTTTTTCTTGAAATAGCTGGTTTTTTTTTCGACATTCCCTCACAAATGCAGATCATGGCATCCTGTATAGGTTGTCATCATCATCATCATCACAACCTCGAATACATTGGATGTATGGATGATTTTGATTTTATATATATATGCTTATACACACACACACACAACAGATATGGTATCAAATGATGTATTTATGCATACACACACACACACCAACAGATATGGTATCAAATGATTGATCGATTTTGATTTTATATATATACTTATTATGGATTTCACAAATGGAATGTAATTTCGAAAAAAAGGGTCGATGAAATCGAAAATTTTCTGTTTATGTGTGCGTGTGTGTGTGTGTTTATATTGGAAATAAAATATTCAATTTTTTTTCTCATTCCTCGGTGTACACATGATTTGGAAAACAAAACAAAACAAAACAAAAAAAATTTGTAAACACAAACTCAACTCACAAATTTTAATTTAACTTTTTTTTAAATTATTAATTTTTTTGAAAAAAAATAAAATTATTCATTTTACAATACTGAATTATTATTATGATGAATCAACATTATCAGTTATTGATTCAGTGATTGATTGCTGCTGCTGCTGCCGTTGTTGTGATCTATGATGGCCACCATCAGAATTGATCATTTGATTTGTATTCATATCATATTCAGATGATAATATTACATCCAATAATGATTGTGGTATTAATGAAACCTGTTGTTGATTCATCTGTTGTAGATAATTAATCAATGATGGACGAATTTCTGGACATGTTTGAAATACAGATTGTAATTGTATTGGTGGTAATTGTAATAATACAGGAAAACTTTGTGGTAATGTTCGTTGACAACATTTGATAAAACCTTCCCATACTTTTTTCTGATTCCAAACTTGTTTCAATATTAAACGTTGAAGAATATTGTTCATAACAAAACTGATTAACCTTGGATAATGGCCCAATGTTTGTATCACTGTACGCATCAATAATGTTGGTAAAGGATTTTGTTCACTAAGCATTTGCATGACAATGGCAAAAACTTCAGCTGTAAACAATGATTTCTCTTCGAAACATAAATGTATGGCTAAATCGAAAAATAAAACAAATTGTCAAGGATGTATAACTATGAGAGGGTAATATCACTATTTTACCTTTTATAATTGTCCTCAAATCACATTTGGATGGATCAATATTGTGCAATGCAATCATGAGATCGGCAGGTGAAATTGGACTTTGATATGATGGATCTAAAATAAAAAAAAAAACAACGAGAAGAGATTTAATAAACCGGAAACAATTATACGAAAGACTAACCATGTGAAACGAACATTCTGTTGAACACTTCTTTTATAACATTTGGATTCAATTTGATTAGTTGTGGTAAGATTTCAATAATTTCTCGTTTGGTAAAACCACTTAGCACTGGTATTAGAAAACGAACATCGGTAACACGTTTTTGTTTTTGATATAAATCTTTAACACAGGCAACCAATTTAGCACTTGGTTTTCGTTTATCGGTCAATATGTGTATTACACGTGATACAAGAATTTCGGCACCATCAATAAAACCATTCTGTACGAATTTAATCATTTCCATTGAATTCATATCAATATCTTGAATTGGTTCTTGAATTAATCGTAAAATAACACGTTTTATATGGGCATTTGTTGCCACATAAACATTTGGTAATTCATGAATCAATTTTTGATTAAGTGGTAATAATTTTAGATAAACAGCAAGTACAGCTTTGATGGCATCATCATTCCAGGGCATCGGTTCCTTTGCTCCAAGTACATTCGGACCATATGTATCATTTTTCAATCGATTCAAACATTCTAATGCAAATGATTCAGCAGTTTCTTTTAGATTAAATTTAGGATTCTGATAAATCTCAATAATCATCGCCAATGATGATTGATGAATATCAGCATTTTCTGTTTCAATACAAATCTGTAATAAACAGGTGAGAAATTCTTGCCTATACGATGGTCTTTTCTCAACCAATATTCGTAATATGGTTGATGATGATTCAAAATCTTCTGAATGAAGTACAAAATTCTTAAACATTTCAATAGCTCTATCATCAAGTAATGGTGATTCTAGATATAGTTTTTGAAGAAAAAAATCCAAATCATTCGTTTCACAAGTATCGAATACACTTTCAATGATCCATGCAAGATAATCGGAATATGATTTCATTGATTTTTCATGTGATTTACAATGAATATATTCTAGATATAAAGCATTGAATAATATATCATAACGGGAACGAATATCCTGAAAAATATAATCCTTTATCAATGTTTTCAATGGATCAAATGCAACTAGATTTGATGAAAATTTTCCAATTATTTTACGATAATTTTCATATTGTTTAGCTGAAAATTGTGCCGATTGATTCGACACCAATATACGTGAAATACATTTTTCCATATGACGAATTTTTTCATTCAATTCCAATGGTTTAGTTATATCTTCCAATTTAAGTTGTTTAATCTTTACGGCTGATGTCATTTTCTTTCCCGATTGTACAAGTTTAACTTTATTATGATTTTGTTGTTGATTTTTCATCTCACGACTTATTAATTTTTTTACCATACTTGTTATTTTTTTATTTGTTTCATTGTCAATTTTCATTCGATATTGAGTTTCAAATAGATTCATATATTTAGCTATCACTTCATCGATTCCTGGTCCGATAGCCATTCCGGTGAGAAAAAATGCCATTTTTTTGCAATAGCTGCCGGATCATTCAATGAGAATGAAAAATCATTTAATGAAGCAATTGATTCCGGCTTTAAATTATCTGGTAATAAATGTAATGATGTAAGAACTAAATCACAGACAGTATTCGAATTATTTAGACGACCAATTAGATCTTTGGCCGTTATATCGGCAGCTTTAATAGCATCATATCGAGAAAATTTTCTTGATAAATCATGTAGACTAGTATCCAGATTGAATTTTGGTTGTTCATTTTCTTGTACTTGATTATTATTACCATTATTGTTTTCCATTTCATCATCATCTTCATCCATTTCAATTTTGATTCGTTTCGGTTCATGACCAACATTATTATTGCTGTTGTTGGCTTCGATTTTGATACCACGTTTTTTACTTTCCTGTATACAACGATTTATTTCGCTTTGTTTGACGCCAATATTTTGCAATGTTTGCATTATTTTCGATTGATATTTCGAGAATTGAATATAAGGATGTTTAAATAACATGAACATTAAAAGTTTTAATTGTTTGTTGACAGAATTAACTTGTGATTTGGCCAATGTTGGTGGTAAATTTGTACTTAAAGTTTCGAATGCCAAAACAACTTTGTCGAAAAACAAACGTGAACGTTGTCTTGCAATCAACGATAAACTTTGCATTGTAGCCATTAAATTTACACTAGAAATATGAATTTTCGATTGAAAATTAATCAATTGTTCAAACAATTGTTTTGCTTCGTCTTCCAATGTTTCAATGTCGATTAATTTTTTATCCACGTTAACGATTTGATCCAGAGAGAAATCTTCTTCTTTAGAGAAATTATCTCTTCGAGTTTGACATACGATAACCATTTCGATAAATTTAACACATTGGGTACGAACACCATCGTTTTCGGTTAAATCGATCAATGAGAAAACCTGATTTTTAATCTGGTTCCAAACTTCACCAGTTGATTCAATTTCTTCATTCACTTTTGCCGTCGAAATCCATGGCAAAAATATTTTATACAATTGAGTTAAAGCTTGAATTACACGTTTCAAAACATTGGGAACTTCATCGGCTAACATAAGGCTTAAATTGACAATAACTTTTGGGAAAAAATCCGGATCCTTTCTACATGTTGCTTCGATAAAACTGGCAACAAATTTACGTACTTCAGATAATTTATCATTTTGAAATCCAAGAATTTCATCGAGAAAATTATCCAAAATATCATTATGAATGACCAGTTCTTGAGCCTGATTTAGGAATGATACTTTTTCACTTTCATTGGTTGAAGCGATAGCATTTTCCAGAAATTCAATCACTCGAGATTCGATACGATCGGCTTCCGAATTCGATGACATTTTGGAACTAGAAAAAATAAAATAAAAACGCGTGTTTATTAACAAAAATTTGTTCGACAATAAAACAAACGAACATTTGAACGGGAAAAATTTTTCTCGTTGAAACAAAACAATTTCCAGAAACTTTCCAAATCATAATGTCGAGAATCATCATCATTTTTATTTAATGAATAAATTATTCGGAATCCTAGTGCAATGTCTCTATAATTTAATCATCTTAAATCATTCCAAAAGATAGCCATGATCAAATATACATGGATCATCATTGTTGCAATATTTTTATTTGATTATGGTAATTCTCATTATTGATTGATAATCCAATATCATTTTAACAATTCTATTGATGAAAATATAGCTCAAGCATCGTTCGGTGATCGATTAAAATTGTTTCAATATTTTTTCATCAATTGTTATCGAAACAATTGTTCAAAACCAAATTCATTGGCACAATTCGAATCAAGACAACCGGTTTATCTGAAATTATTCGGATGGGATTGCCAATCAGAATGTCAATTAGAAGCACAATGGCAAACGATTGATCGATTACAGAATCATGAAACGCCACAATCTATTCCACAATTTTATGGAAAAGTATGATGTAATTTAAAATTATGGTTATCTTAATATTCTAAACAATTTTATACGAAATTCATTCAGTGGACATTTTATCGATTGTTCGGAATTCAGGAACCAGCATCGTTCATTTTTTCCATCGGTAATTTGGCAACAAATTTTTACTGTTGGCAAGATTATCGAATATTTGGCAAATATTCAAATGATCCATTTTATAATTTATGGCAAATACAAGCATTTATCTCGATGAATGCTTGGTTTTGGTCAATGGCATTCCATGCTCGTGAAACACCGTTAACCGAGGTTTATTTTTTAAAAAATCCTTGATTAGATGATTCAAAAGCTAAATTTTTTTTCTTTTCACTAGAAATTGGATTACTTTTCTGCCTATTTAATTGTGATCTATTTATTGTTTACAATCACTGTCAAAATGTTTGTCGAAGTGTTCAAATTTAATTCTAAAATGATTCAGATTTCATTAGCCATGCCTTCATCAGCTTCTACGTTTATCATTTGATTCGAATGTATCATCGATTCGATTATGGTTACAATATGAAAATCAATGTTATAACTGGTATGTGATTGTTAGCCAATGGTGATTTTAAATAATCTTGATGATTGTTAATGGTTAGGCATTGCAAGTACAATTTTATGGTTAGTCTGGTGTTTCATCAATCGCCATCATCGTACACATGTTCGAAAATGTTTTCTAAGTTTATTATTTGTTAACTTGTGCTTAACATTGGAATTGTTTGATTTTGCTCCAATTTTCTACACATTCGATGCTCATTCCATTTGGCATTTGGCTACAACATTTTTTCCATTTTTCTGGTATAGGTAACCATTTTTTATCAACGGAAAAAATTAATTATGACCATTAATTTTTGTTTTTTTACCACACAGTTTTCTAAAAGATGAGGCAATTTTTTATCTAGTCCAAACATCAGATGATGAAACGAAACAGAAATTACTTTGATTTAATTTTTATTTTTGTTTTTTGGAACTAAAAAAATAGAATAAATTTTAGAATTGAAAAATTTAAATTGAAATTTTCCTATCCTCTATGTACGGTCCATTTGAAAAACGAGCGAGAAAAATAATAAAAAACGAGGATTCTCTGTCTTGCGGGTATCACGATCGATGGCCTGACTCAGAATTTTCTACAATTTCATTATTTTTGTTTGTGATTGTTTGGTTTTTAAATATTTTTCATTCATTCATGCAAACCGACAACATTTTTGAACTTAATTCCATTTAGATTTAGATTTTTTTTCGATAATAAATAAATACTGGAGAAAAAAAAATATCTAGAAAACGTCATTCGTGTTTCGTGGATTGACCGCTGTATGGATACCATTCATTTCAATCGAAAACATTGTTTCATCGAGAAAATATCCAAACTTTGATATATAAAATTCACATAATAATTGTGTTTGTTTACAATTGTTTCAAAAAAATTCTATCCAATATTGCAAACTATTTCGTCAAATGGCCTCAAACGATAAAGATGATGATGAACTTACAATACCGCGTGCGGCAATCAATAAATTGATCAAAGAGATTGTACCAGATATTCGTGTGGCCAATGATTCTCGTGAATTTATTCTTCAATGTTGTTCAGAATTTATACATAAAATAACAACAGAAGCAAATTTAATATGTGAAAGTCAACAGAAAAAAACAATGTCGGCTGAACATGTTCTATCAGCACTTGATCGACTTGGTTTCTCCAATTATAAATCCGAAGCCGAATCTGTTATGAATGATTGTAAAGGTAAAAGACGACGACAATCAACACGTTTGGAACATTTAGGCATACCTGAAGAAGAACTACTTAGACAACAACAAGAATTATTCGCTAAAGCTAGACAAGAACAAGCATTGATTGAACAACAAGAATGGTTACAAATGCAAAACGCGGCCATTGCTCAGCATAGTTTAAATGTTCCAAATGAAGATGAAGAATATGAATCCTGAATCATCATAAATTATAATCAATTATATCACCATTAAAATGAAATATATATGAATTATCATTATTTACAAACTACAACTTTCAATCTGAAAAAATTTTTGTTCATTTTAAATAATTTTTTTTCTCGCATACACAATTATTTTCACTTTTCAATTTGTTCGTTCAATTCAATTATTCTTAAACTTCATATATTTTTTTTTTCTTTGACAATATTTTCAATATTCGCGCTACATATAATTGTGTTTGAAATATATGCCGACACAATATGGCCGACAATATCAGTTTTCCAAAATCATCATCATCCGATGATAATCAAGCTCAGCCATCTGAACCGTTACCACGAACCGATCTTCATATATCTGATTCAGAATTAGAAACAAATCTTCAACAGATTCGTGAAAATAATGACATTATATGGCGTGATTGGTTTTTCAATAAAATTGAAAAAATTCTCGACATTTCCAATGGGAATAATTCAATTGGTCAACAACAACAACAACAACAACAATCATCACAACAACAGCCTACAATTAAAAATGTTACCGTAATATTCGGTCAAGCCGGTAGTGGCAAAACATTTCTTATACAATTGCTCAGTCAAACAAAACGTTTTCAAAGTCGTGTTTTGATGTCATTCTATTGTAAATTCACCTCATCCACACCAAATGATTTCATTGATTGTTTTGATCAACAGATTCAGCAGATATTTAGCCATGTTCAAAAATCCTCATCATTAGCTACATCACGTATTATCGATACAAACAACATTGCTAATCATAGTGTTAATTTTCGTGAAAATTTACTTAAATTATTGAATAGTTTTTCAAAAGATTTGACTATTGTAAATAAGTATCAATTACAATCGAAACGTTATCTATTATTAATCGATTCGATTGATCTACGTCCAGATATTTGTGATTTAGTTGCTAGCAATTTACATTCATTACCTAATTGGCTACATGTAATCATAACGGCAAGACCAAAACGTTATCGTGGCATAACGAAAATGTTTTCTGGTGCACGTAAAATTGTCATTGATGATATTAAAAAATCCAATGTCTATAATGATATAATGGGTTATCTTTGTAAACATCAAACGAAAATACAAGCAACAACTACATCAGCAACTACCTCAAACGAATCATCACAATCATCATCATCGAAACATTTGTTGAATAGAATTGTTCATAAAAGTAATGGATCGATTTTATATGTGAAAATATTGCTCGATTGTTTTGAAAGAAAAATTTTCGACATTCAACAATTAGATTTCGTTGGTGCCACTTTAAATGGTCTTTATTTAGCTTTATTCACCAACATTTTTAACAATAATCCTAAATGGGAAACAGAATTCAAAACAATATTCTCATCGATAGATCGAATTAATTCATTTAAAGTATCCGTCGCTGATCTACTCACAAAACTTCAATGTTCAGAAGAAACATTGAATCAAATATTGAATGTTTTATTTGTTCATCATTTGATTCTATATACCGATAATGATCAATCGATCAAATTAATACATGGTAGTCTATTTGAATGGCTAAGCGATATTAAACATTGCACGGCAAGATTCATTTGTCGATCATATTTTCCAGATACGGAACAATCACATTTATTAATGATGAATCTTAGTGAACAAGTTGCAAAAAATCGACAACTAGCATTGGCCATCAGTAATAAATATATACAGGATAATGATGATTCAATCAATGATATATCCGATGATATGTTATATGAAAGAGATCGTTCAGATTCACAAATGGGAACAACCAGTGGACAAGCACAAGTATCGACAAATTCAAATAATAAACTATTTGAACTTCAAACAATAGGCATTTATGCCGAAGCCAATTACAGTCATATTGATAAATTCAATAATAATAATAATAATAATAAAAATTTAACAAAAACTAATTCCATTGAACAAGAAGATCTTGGTAATAATAATAAAAAATATAATGGAAAATTGTCATTGAAATTTGATTCAACATTGGTACCGAATGATTCACAACAACATCATCATCATCATCATCATCATAGTAGTTCATTTATTAATTCCACAAATCTGGTTGAAAGTACTACATCGAATTCATTGAAGGATTGTAAATCCAAACCATATCTACCAATGACCATCGATGATGATTGTCTTGTCGACAGTGATGGTGATGAACAACAAAATCCATTAGTCGATGATCAAGATTTAAGTAAAACAGAAATATCCAAAGAATATCTAAACAAATTATATCAGAAATTTGAGCAAGCACTACATTTATGCGATCTAAAAGCATTACGTAGCATTTTAAGCCGTTATGGTAATGTTATAATCAATCAAAATTTCATTAATGGTAAAACACCAATGTATTGGGCGATCAAAAAAGGCAATATGAAATTGGTTGAATTGTTTCTTGAATTTAATGCCGATGTCAATGCTGTCTGTGATCCGCAATGGGGATATTCATCATTAATATTGGCATTGATGCAACATTCGTTCGACATGTGTGAATTATTATTGGAAAATGATGCCGATGTTGAACTATTGGATCGATATTCAATGCCACCAATTTTACATGCCATTCTTGTTAATTGTTCACCGGAAATTATCAAATTACTATTGTATTGGGGATCGCATACAGATTTTATTGATGAAACTGGTCGATCTTTGTTACATTTTGCTGCTAATGAACCGAAAACCTGGGGACAAACAATAAGTTTATTGCTTACTGTTGGTTGCGATGAAATGCATCGAGACAATAATGGTCAAACTGCATTACATATGGCCGCTGCTAATGGTTCGCTTGAAACTGTTGAAGTTCTTGTAGAGTTTGGTGGCGATAAATTAATTCATACACAAGATAAATCCGGAAAACTTGCCATACATGAAGCAGTTGCTAAGAATAATTTTGAAGTATGCGAACCATTAATTACCCCAAATCAATAAATTTTGCTGCTCATAGTGGTAATTCACCGTTGAGAATTGCAATCTTATCTTACTACCTCGATTTGGCTCAATTATTGATCCTTAAAGGTGCCGATGTTAATTATAAAGATGCTGATGGACGATCAATCATCTATTGTGTTGTTGCATTTACACATAGCACATTGGAACAAAAAGGGCCACCATTTTTCAATCTTGCTGCATTGTACAAAAATGGACCAGAAGAATATCTGGAAACAGCGGTTAAGACAATTGAATTTTTAGCTCGATTTGGTATTGATTTGGAAATTAAAGATCTCGAAGGCCGAACAGCTTTACATGTGGCAGCCTGGCAAGGAACATATGCAATAGTTGATTGTTTAATTAAACTTGGAACGAATATCGATGCCATCGATGCTGAAGGTAGAACACCATTACATATGTGTGCCTGGAATGGTCATATTGAAGTGTTACGATTGTTAATTGAATCCGGTGCCATGGTCAATCCAATATCATCGACTCAAGGTGCATCACCATTACTAGTGGCAGCTCAACAAGGTCATTATGAAACCTGTGCATATCTTTTACAGGCTGGTTCGGATATTTCACATCGAGATTTTTATGGCCGAAATGCCAAAGATGTTGCATTGAATTGTGGTCACAAAGAAATTGTACAATTAATCGATTCATTTGTTGTTACAACAGTCAGTAGTGTTGGTAGTTTGGAACATAATCAATCAAATAATGATTTACCAATGAATCATTCAAACGATCATGATGTAATGGCCATAAAATATTCAAAATATGATGCCAGATTTTATGGTATAAATCAATCAATCAATAATAGCAATAATCAAAATTTGGATAATAATAATGGTATAATGGCAACAACGATGGTAGCAATAAATAATACAAATAGTGTTCCAAACAATCATAATATCAACAATAATAATAATAATAATAAAAAGGAATAATTGTTGGATCAAGAAAAAGTAAAAAAACCAGATCCATAAGTAAATTGACCAAAATGTTGCATTAATTTTCTATCATTCATTTTATTCATTTATTCATTTTTGCATTTTTATATTTAAAAAAAAAGTACAAAAAGATTCGATCACGACTGATTATAATCACATTTTTGTTCGAATTCTTTGTTTTAATTTGATTTTTTTTTGTTTGTTTTTTTGATTATATACACAACCACAATCTCATCCATCCACCCACGCACACAAACATACACACACAACAAACACAATTACATCTGATTATCATATACATACTTTTCATGGATTAATTTGGAAATAATTAAATGAAATGATTTTTTTTTTTGAGATTAATCATGAATAAATTTGACATTTTCCACTTTTTTTTGAAAAATGTTTCTCATGGTTGTTGTTGTTGTTGTTGTTGTTTTTGTTTCGAATAAAGTTGCTTAGGTAAACAAGTTTGTTAGTTGAGTGGCTAATAATTTTATTCACCGTTATACACAACGTATGATCAGGTTACGATTCATTGGAACCAAAAAAAAACCAATAAACTTGATACAAAAACCGGTTCATCCGGATCATTCTCGAATTTAATATTATTATTATTATGTTTATCGGTTAGAATAAATCTTATTTAGCGAATGAATGAATGAATGAATGAATTGACCTCAGTTCGAATTGATCGTTAGTCATAGTCATCGTCATCAACAAGAAAAAAATTGTTCATTTTGTTTCTTCATTTATTTTCATAATACACACACAAAAACAAAAAAATGATGAAATTTTTATCGATTTGTTGTTTATTTTCATTCATTTTGGGTAATTCATTCATACTGAATTATGCCAATCTGATTGGAACGTCAATAAATATAAGCAATGATGGCCGATTGCCATCGATGACTGACAATATTCATGCTACTACGGATAACAATGATGATGATGATGATGGTGGCGATGAAAAATCACAATCGATTGATCCGATCGAAACAACAGCAAAATTATTGATCCGTGTCGATGAATTGGTTGAAAAATTATTAGCCGCTAATAATAATAATAATAATGATGATTCGATTTCTGGTGAACATTATTATATTTCGGATGATCATGTTGAAGCATCATCATCATCATCATCAGTAGTCATTGATGATGATGGTGATTCAAAAATGGCCATCGATCATAATGTCAACAATCAACAGGTCGATGAATCAGCTGATTCGAAAAATCAATACCAACAAGAAGAACGTTTTTCTGTTCTATTAACCGATTTGAAAAAGATTGAAGAAATGATTGGCATCGCCATAGTTAAAGCTAATTTAAATCGTCAATATCGATTGGTAATGCGATTACGGCCATTACAAACATATGTGCAACAAATTTATCGAAATCTTGAATCACTTCGTGCTCGTGTTGTAGCCATTGCTACATTATCCAATCTGGCAATTACTGTCAATGATGTTTTGGTACAATTTGGTGATGTAATGACCAGTTCACAGATAATGTCATCCGGTATGATACCGAAAAATCCGCCACCGAAAATTCTTCCCGGTATTACGAATTTCAGCAGTTCCAATATAGTTCCAATAGCTGTTGAATCGACAAAAACTACAACTACAAACAGAATCATTTCGGAATCATCATCAACGAAAATTGTGACAACAACTGAAAATCCAACAACACTTTCATATGTCGAAGTGGATGCTGAACATTTTTTTCAGAATATTCTTTCGGATCATAAAAAATGAAAATCAATCATTATGGCAAATATTTTTACAATTTATTTTATTTATTTATTTATTTAACTGTATGGGATGAAAGTATTGAAAAAAGTAAAAAATAAAATTTAGCAAAAAAAAACAATACCTTTTTCGTATCTTTATTTTTTGTTGTTGTTGTTGTTGTTGTATGTTGAATAATAAGTAATCGAACAACATCTTACGAGACAGTATTAGAATAATAATGATGGATTATTCATTTCGATAAAAAATGGATCTAATACATGTCTGGTAAGATGGCAACCGTTACTCAATAGCTTTAATTTTACAGGTTGAATTTTTTCTTTGGATTAATCCAATCGATTAAATTCAATGTAAAATAAATTGTGTCGAATCAATCACATATGTGCAATTATTCGAAAAACGAAAATTTGAAAAAAAAATCCATCGAATCGAAACGTCATCATCATACCGTGTGGATGGATCATCATCGTTTTGTTTAATTTTATTTTTTTCTGCACGTCATCCTCCATCATCATCATCATCATCATCATGATCGTGGTTGTTTGTCACTAAGGAAAAAAACAACGAGAAATAAAATCGAGATTAGTTATGTTTGTATAATAATAATAATATGAACAAATTTTTTTTCGGTTGTGATGTGGTTTTCTTTTCGTTTCGTTGTTTGGGATCCGATCAACGACATTTTGTTTTGGCTTGTTTGGATTTTGATAATACCACCATTTTATCAGGATTGAAAGTAGGAAAAAATGATGATGATGATGATGATGATGATGAATAGATTTACCACACATATGGATGTCACCATTTACCATTTATATTGTCGATCTGATGATTTCACAACTATTTAATAAAAATGATGGCGGTTGGTTTTTTTTATTAGTAGTTGGTTGACCTATACATTAAATTTCATATACTTACCGAATAATACAAAACGCAACAGGTAAACAAAACAAAACAAAACAAAAAAAAAAATTAAATTTCGAATTCAAAACAAACACACATACACGTACAAACAAAATACACAAATGTCGTTTCTGATCGGTGTTTAGCACTTGTGTGTTTCGGCAATATATATTATTGGATTGGATGATGATCTTCATTTTCAATCATCATCATTGATGATGGCGTTTCAAAAAAAAAAAAAGAAAAAAGTAATACGAGAACAGCAACAGCAAAACACACACACACACGCACAAAATAGAGTCAAGCTCATCAATGAAACACGAGATATTTTTCTCTTTTAAAAACAAAACAAAAAAAAAAAATAAGTTTCTTTGGACTCAACAAACAATCAATAAACAACAAGTAGTATTATATATACGGGCGCGACAATTACAAACAAAAAAATTTTTTTTTCATTTCATTTTCTTCTACGTCTTTTTTGGATGTGTGAGTATGATCATCAATTCAAAAAGGCTGGTGTTGTATTTCTTTTTCATTCAAAGACAAAACAACAACAACAACAACAACAACATCATCATCATCATCATTATTATCATCATCATCATCATCATCAATCCTCGAAAAAAAATGCTTGAAGCTTTGAAAAGTTGAAATCAAAATCAAAGTATTCATCATCATCAACATCGTTGTAGCCGTTTGTTTCAATACGGCGACACACTTGTTGCTTCTTGTTGTTGTTGTTGTTGTTGTTATTGTTGCCTTTCCTGTATTACCACTGCTAAATTTACAATGTCATCGACGTTTATTCATTTTGTTGGTCGATCATCATCATGATCATTTTGTTTGTGGCTGTCTGTTAAATTTTTTTTTTTGATTGGTGGAATTATTGGTGGTATATTTTTTTCTGCTGTTGTTGTTATTCCTAAATACAACATATATATATTGGCACACATCAATAACATTGGCACAGATTTATTTGTGTGTAATGTGTGTGTATGTGTGCGTGAAAAGTTGAATAAAATACTACAGATCAATAACAGAGACGAGTGTATTATAAATCGATATATCAATTGAACCGAAACCAACAACAACAACAACAACAATAATAATCAATGATGATTGTTGGTATATGAAAAGCATTTAGCTAAATGGATATATGATGATCAAACTAATCAAAATACACATAGATAGTAAAATATTATACCAATATATTATATTAGATCGTTCGATGAATTTTCAAATCATGAACCGAAAAAAAAAAAAATGAAATGAAAACACAAAGATAACAAAAAATGATGATGATGATGATTATGGGTGTGAAACTTTCACATTACATATTTAGTATAAAAAAAACGATAACTGTATACACACAGATATCATACACATAGCATTGAGCAGATATATTACCATACTATTGGAGTTGTGATTTACAAATGTGTGCGATATACTGTTTTGAATCAAAGAATGATAGGGCAACAAATAATAATAATGATGTTGATGGCGATGATGATGATACAAGATTTTTGGTTTGTTTTGGCGCAACACTGGTATTATAATAATCCTGGTTTATAATAACAAAAAAAAACGATGAATGTAAAAAAAACTGAATGTGGGAGGGGAACAGTAAAAAAACAGTAACACAAATCATAAATTAAAAAAAGATTAACATTATATATTCATTCCAACAACAACAACCAATCTAACCAACAAAACAGACAACCAAAAGAAAAAAATAAAGCAAACAACAATCATCATCATCATCATCAACCACGCCGACACCATGGCCACCACCAACACCAACACCACCATAATCATCATCATCATAGCCAGAAAAAAAATATTGAACCAAATGGCGACATTTTCATACATACAAAAAAAAAACACACACACATATAAAAATATCAAAGAGACAAAAAAAAAGTAGGAGTGATTAGACATGTGTTTTATATGTGAAGGATATATATGAGAATGACATAGAGTTAGTTAGTAGGAGAGAGAGAAAAAAAAGAGAGAGATAGATGGATAGAGATGGAATGGAAATGGAAATGAAAAAAAAAAATATGAGAGACAGGCATCACACACACACATCAAAGAAATGTGGTGTGGGGAATAATAATGAAAAAAAAATCAGAAAATGATGTACACAGAGAGAACAGAGAAATAAAAATCAAAAAAATTTCCTATCTCTCTCTCTCCATTCTATACTTTGAAATATTTTTATCAAACAGGAAAAAAATTGAATACAAAATAAAATGAGGAAAAGAAATTTTGTATTTTGCATTTTTGTTTTGTTTTAGTATGAACAGAGATCATCAATGGACAAAATACGGTAACAATATCCATTTGATTCAAGGGAAAAATCAAACTGAATGAAAACCGATATTCTCATTTTTTTTCCTAAATATACAACAGCAACAGAAAAAAAACATACCTACAACCATGATTTTTGTTTGCAATCAAAAAAAAAAAAAAAATATTTCAAAAACCAACCTCAATTCCTAATCAAACAAAATTTTTTTTAAAAAATGAGAAAAATTTTTTAAAGAAAGACAGAAAAAAAAGGATTGCAACTACAAAATGACGAACCATTTTTCGTGTGTCGAGTGTGTGTGTGTTTTTTTGGTGATATAATGATGATGAAGAAAAATAGGAATTTTTTTACGAAAAAAAAAATGATGACGAATCAACCATCCAAACCATCCATCCATCCATCCATCCATCCATCTATCTATCCGACCATCATCATCGTGTTTGTATTCAGAATTGGTGAAAGAATTTCAAAGTTGACAAACGGAATAAAGAAGATATATATTTTTGGCAAACATACACACAAACGCACAATACAATATACACACACTGTACAACTTTCACATATTTATAACAGGAATGAAAGAAAAAAAAAGAAAGCAAACAAAAAAAACGGAATGACATAGACGAATGTCGACCGTTATTTATATACATCATCATCAACGACGACGACGACAATGATGATGATGATGATGATGATAAAGTCTCGAGGTTTAAAACAGCACCACCACCACCACCACCATAGGGATGATCCGATCTTTTTTTTTCTATTTCATTCTCAATTTATATATCAAATCCAATACAATGTTGTTGTTGTTGTCATCGTTGTTGATGATGATAATAATAATAGAAAAGATATTTATGTTTGTGTGTGTGTGTGTGTGATGTATGAAAAGAAATCTTTTCATTTTTTTTCTACAGATTGGATTTAATTTTATTTGCCAGTTCTGTTCTTGTATATCTTCTATAGTTGATTTGATCACCATCAATAGAAAGAATGATTATTGAGATCGTTGTCATTGGTCGTATCCATACACTAAAAACAAACTGTATGATGATGATGATGATGTATAGGCGAGAGCAATAGATAAATTTCATCATCATCATTATCATCATACTTCTGCTAAATCAGCCATTCTTTTTTTTTACTCTGTTAGAAGAAATTGTCAAGAAAATAAAGATGAGTTTACTGTTTTTTTTTCTCTGTGTATTTTCTCTGGTAATCGTTTTTTTTTTTGCTCTGAATGGGTGGAGGGAGTGTAATGATAACAACAAAAAAAAATTACAAAAACAACAACAATCTATATATGATGATGATAATGTAATTCTGTGGAAAAAAACTTTTCTGGTCAAATATTTCATATGGATAATAGGGTGTTGTTGTTGTTGATTTGTTCGAATTGAAAGAACATAGAAAAAACTGATAGCGATTTTAACATCGAAAATGGAAAAAAAATATCGATCCTTGAAGTGCAAATAGAAACTTTTGATTTTGATAACGTGTGTGTGTAAGTACAGATTATCATCATCATCATCATCATAGAAAAAATATTACCAACAAAAAAAAATCAACCATTGATTTTTGTTGGATGATAATGTGGTTAAGAGGTTGTGGATATAAACACACGCACACACTAGTATATCAAACCAGACCCGGTATCATCATCATCACAAACGAATCATAAATAAAATTTCCACCACCATACATACACCATGGTGATGTGATCATTGCATTGATCATCAACAACATTAATATCATCACCATCATCATCATCATCAAATGACAAATCAAGTTGTCGTCTTGATAGTTCAAGAAAAAAAAATGTGTTTTTTTATTTGGATTATAATAATAATGATGATGATCGATCTATTGATTGATTTAAAAGATAATTAATTTGGTCATCGAAAATCTAGGTGATGATAACATGAATCAATCAATTAATTGGTGATTAATTTCAACATTTATGTCTAGAGATAATTTTTTGCAGAAAAAAAAATCAATACGATGATGATAACAGTTTTGTCTGTTATCATTATCATTATCATCATCATCATCATAATTGTAATTAGAAATTGGCTAGTAGGATCTTAATTGAATCATTATTATTTTAATTGGTTGTGGTAATATTTTTCAATTAGCTTTTTTCGATCAACATTCAGAATTTAAAAATATCGATATTTTTGTCATTACAACAACAAACTCATTATCATCACTTCAGATAGAAAATGATCGTATGAATTTTCAATTCGGTCCAAACAACGATATATAAAATTATATTACCATCAAAGAACAAAAAAACAGACATTTATCATCAATCAACATTTATAGAAAAATAAAATGAAATAAAACAACGACCCGACATTGGTGATGGACATTGCTTTTTTTCCACTTGTTGATCATACACACACACACACACACAATGATATGATTCGATGATCTAATCTGTTTATATTTTTCTTTGGATTGAAAAAAAGTGGAAAAATCCAATGGAATAAATATAGAAAGAAAATTTGAGATATATGAAAATGAATTGCAATAAGCTGAAAAAAAAATCGATCGATTAGTGTCGATTATTTTTTCTTGTTCACACACACACACACACATCAAAACTATGGATGTCATTGAGTGTGGGCGGATGCGAGTGTCACAATGAATGACATCCATAGTTTGATGCATGAACACACACACACACACACACATTGTGAGTCATTTAGAATATATCTGAAATTAAAGTTATCTTAATGTTGATTTTTTTTTATTATCATGATTCGGTATTTTTATATCTTGTCACCAGAACTCATAAGACTCATTCTCTTTCTGTTGTCTATGTGTGTGTGTGAGTGTGAATTTGATCTGTCTTGGGTGTGGAAACACACACACACACACAAACACAAATAGAACTACAAAGCAAGAAAAAAAAATTTGATACTCTGTCATTGATTGTTTGCTTGATTGATTGAATGATTGATTGAAATGATCACAAAAATCAAGATGCAAATGGTATATGTCACAAGATTTTTCATTCATTTCAATAAGATAAGTTGATGATAATGATGATGATGATGGGACAAAAATTTAATCAGAATGTCGAAAAAAAAATCACAAGAAAATGAATAAAAAAAAATCATCAACAGGCAAAACAACAATATGATCGAGACAGAATTTTTCATATGAAAAACAAAACAAAAAATAGTTTAACCGATCACAATTGTTGGTCGTTCGGGAATGAAGAAAAAAAAACGTTTCTTCACACATCTGGCCCTCATCATCATCATCATCAACAGCAGCAGCAGCAGCATAATCATCATTAGATGAGGTTGACGGATTTTTTTTTTCATTTCTAATTTTCTCTTGAATTTTGGTGAAGAGATTACAATAATAAATTGAGATTGAGATTTTTCCATGAAAAAATCCGATAATACTTAAAAATAGTTTCATCTAATGGTGAATGATACTGTAAAAAAAAAAAAAAAGAAGAAATTACCATTCATTCGAATTGTATTTGGATGTTATGTATGCGTATGCGTGTGTGTGTGTGATCTCGATTATTTTCACAGACTGGACAACTAAATTCGAACAACAACAACAACAAAAAAAATCAAACTTATTAATGGTATCCATTAAGTCCAGATTTCCTATAAAATTTTCACAACTACCACCATTACCAACACCACTATCATCATCATCATCTTGATGAATGTGAAGTGTGTGTGTGTGTGTGTGTGTGCAATCGGGAAAAAATTAGTTCGGGTAAATAGACCCACTGTTTTTCAAACGAATTTCGAATAAAGAAATTAAGATGTTGTTGATGATGATGATGATAATGATGAGTATTCATCAACATCATTTTCGTTCAATTTTTTTTACCTAAAATCAAAATGGTGCTATTTTTTCCAACAAAAAAAAATGAATAAACTTACATTCGAAATGTAAACATTCATCATGATCGTTTTTTTTTTTTTTTGTCGAAATTTCGGAAAAACAAATCCAAATAATTATCGAATGGTGTGGTAGCGGTGGTGACATTTTTTCCCAATCGATTTATAGATTCAGAAATAAAAAATTCATTGAATGACAAATTAAAGGACAGATAAAAATACATACATACGATATTATCATCAACCATAATTTTATCATTTATGTTTCGAACGTTTTTCATATGCCAATGATTTCATTTTTTTCTTGCAGGTCCCAATGTATCTTGCCAAATAATCGAATATATCAAAATTGAATTTGTTTACGAATCACATTCATTATTATTATTATTGAATAAGATAAAATTTATGAAAAAAATAACTTGCCAAAATTAAAATAAAAAAAAAAATATATCAATCGAATCATCATGCGACAAAAATGATGATAAATGACAATCATGATGCATTTTATTGTATTGTAAATGAGAAATGTACAAACACACACAAACACACGTACGCACTATAAATGTCTGAACTTTTATCACTCATTTTTGATGATTTTCACTGGAAAAAAATATCAATTTCAAACAAAATTTAATTTTGAGAAAAAAAAAAGAAAAGAAAATTTCCCCAAACACAAGCAGCATGTGTAAATATAAATCGGAAACACAATGAAAACGGTTATATTTTCATATACCGTTTCAAAAAAAAAAAAAAAAAATTGTCACATGTAAAATGTGGAAATGGAATGATTCGAATTTTTTTTTTTTTGGTTCGATTCTGTCGACATCTAGTGTCATTTTATTAACAACATAAACCATAAATTAAATTAAAAATAAATATTACATCGATATATTGATGAAAACAAAATTATTTAAAATTGTTTAAAAATTTAATCGCATTGAACATGTTTCAGATCCATAATCCAATTGGTCACATTGATCCAATTGTGCAATTTTTGAATAATTATTAAAATATCGAAATGAATCTTTACCACAACGGATAAGTACGTATATGGAAACACATTGTTTAAATTCAGAAATGGCACTAAAAAATTAAAAAGTTAGTGAAATTCTTATTCAAAATGATTTTTTTTAAATTCATACCAGCAAATTGTTTCACTTTCACGTTGCCAATCTAATTGTATGCCATTTATGTCTTCTTCATTCCATAATTTACGAATACGGCCATCAAAACGATGTTCACATGGTTTATCGAATTTTTTCACCACCCAATTACAATATGGATCAAGAAGACTGCCAAAATCTGTTCGTAGATCGAATGCAAATCGTCGTGAACGATCCCAATAATCTTTGAAGATTTTTTCTTGCATACCAATCACATGTATTTTACGCATCCATTGATGTTTTAATTCAAAACAAATTTTTGGCAAATTCTGTTTCTGTGTCAAATTCCATTTGACTGTACCGAGAATTATCTGTATGGTAGCTTCTTTTTCATCCAATGAACATTTGCTATCTTCTTCATAAAGATATTTTTTCAAACAACGTTCAAAATGATATAAAGATTCACAATGATCACCAGTATTTATTTCATCATGGCCAAATTGAAAATCATTGCCCATGTTTGTTGTCCAACATATCCAAATAACTTGTGTCGGTATACATGGTCCACGTGAATTACTATTAATCGTATGGCTTATACCATTCTGATCGATCCATTCATTTTCGGTAATAATTTCATCACCATTCTGTGGACCAAGCCAATCGATTTCTTTTTGTTTACACGAAACAATTGTTTCATTATTCTGCGTGATAATATATTTCAATATGCTAAATGTTGACCATGTCATTTTTTCTTCACATTTATCAGCGAATCTAATCAAACAGGTAAATTCTTTATCCAATGATCGACATACATTCAATACATCAATTTGTGATGCAACTTCTTCCTCTTCGGTACGATTAATGGTAAACACAACAAAACGACCTTCAATAATTTCAATTTTTCGTAATAAACTTGATTCACAATCGGTTAATAAATGTAGATCACAATCAAATTCTTCTTCAAATTGAATACCGGTAGTAAAATTGTATGCACGAAATGTAAGATCAATATTACTGGAACCTTTTCGTAATAATCGTTGATAATAATCATTCAAACGAATCATATTACGTGAACGATGTTGTTGCATCGAAAATAATCTATCACGGAAATTATCATATTCTTCTTTATTCAATTTCTGTTTCAATAATAATGTTGATGGTTCTGTCAAATGTTTTCGATTGGTTATTTGTAGTTGATCATTTTGGATGGTTGAAAAACGATCGTACCATTAACATCATCATCGCCAAGAATTTCATTTGCATAAATCAATACTGTAGCCAGAATGATGGATAAAATGAAAAAATTTTGGATGAAAATTGCCATTTTTTCATAAATCACAATGAAAATGAAAATGAAAATGAAACAACAACAACAATCATGATCTGATGACAATAAATAATCAAAACGATGAAATCGATTTGATTTGCTCGAAAAAAATAATGGTCAAACATATTGACTATGACGTTTTTTAAAAAAAAAATCAACACCACCATGTAACTCAAGTTTAAATTTGGTTGGAAAAAAAATGATCACATAACATTGTCATTTTTTTTTATTATTGAAACAACAAAAAGTGAAAGCAACAAATAATAAATCAAAAAAAAAAAAAAAAAATAAACAATTGAACATGGAAATTTTTTTTTTTCAAACTTGAATTGAAGAATAATGTCGTCGTCAAATTCCAAACTCTCATCTTGAAATGGCAGAATTTTGTTGTTGTTGTTGTTATCCAAATTTAGATACCAATTTTACATACATTTCAGTCGTGAAATAAAATAAAAAAAAAAAAACTAAATATAAATCCTAAATTTGATAATTAAAAATATTTACAATTTACACACACACACACACACACACAACACACGCACACAAACAAATCGATCGAAACATGATGATTTGATTTACATGTGATTTTTTTTTTTTTGAAAATGAGAACCAAAATGAATCATGGAAAAAAAAGATTGAAATTCGAATCTTTTTTTGAAAAGGAAACAAACGCAGAAACGCAAAAAAATTTGGCGAAAATTTGAAATCATTGTTTTTTTTGGCTGATAATTTTTTTCGAAATCATATTCGTGATGTGATTAATTATGATGATGATGATGATGGTGATGATTATGCAAAATAAATTTTTGTTTTCATGGGCTGCCACCTCTATGGGTAGTTTATAGTTTATGGGCTGCAAAATATAATTGAAAATGATGATGATCAATTTGTGTAAATTAAGAAAAATAGACAATTTTTTTTATCGAAATTTGTTGTTTTGTTTTGTTTTGTTTGTAATGTAGGCATGATGTTGAGATGTTTTTTTTCTGGTTTTAGTTTTTGGTTTTTCAAAACATTTTATGTAGATGAAGATTCCGGCTTAATACAGATCGTACATCGCTAGTAAAACGTAATGCATCCAATACTGGTAATAGATTTAATAATGCCGTATCGGAAGGATCACAAAACCAAGATTTAATTGGTATGGCATTGTCTAACGATATAACAACAACAAAAAAAAAATTAAAAATAAATTTTGTTTTCCTTTGAAATTTCTTACCTGGATATGAACGATATGCTCCTGGACTATTATCCAGTATGAAAACACTTGATAAATCACCGACAATTGTGGACAAATCTTTTGTATAGCTACCAAAATCCAATGTACAATGTTGACGAAAAAAACGTCTCCGTAATATACCACGATTATTATCCAATTTATCTGCAACTGCTTGGCCATATATTTCCATACTGGCTGTAAATACAACCAAATCATACCAATTGCTCACCTGGAAACATAAATAAAATCAACAATGAATACAACTTTTTCAAAAAAAAAAAAAAAAAAAAAATACTTACCACATCAAGAAAATAATCAACATGTGGCCTTTTATGTACATAAAATTTGACTGGATTACGATCAATTGTAACACGAAGTATAAAATCCGGTGGTGTACCCGGTTTCACTGTTTGTCTTGTTACGCCATCATGTTGTGAATGTATCAAAGTTTCATCAAGATCAAGTACCAATGTTTTCCGTTTTACAAGATCTAACAATCGAAAAAAACAAAACATAAAATTATTGCATATGATGATCATCAAATTTTACAACTTACTTAATCGATGTGCTGATAATGGTGATAATGGTATTATGTCATATTTAACTGTTTGATGTTGTTTCAGCTGATGATGATGATGATGATGTGTTCATATATATCATGGAAACAAATGAAAAACAATTTAAATGAGTAAAAAAAAAATTCTATAATTTTCGAAACAAAAAAAAAAAACTTACCGCTCGAGTTTGTTTTTTCAATGAATAACATATACAAGACCAAACACGTGCAGTGAATAATAGAAATGCTTTTAAACCCATTTGAATTTGTTTAAACATTTGCACAAATTTTCGTTTGATCATACAGATCAGATCGTTCAGAATATATATAGTGGATATCAATTTGAATTGAGGAATAATAATAAACAAACAAAAGAACAGAAAAGTAAGGCCAAAACAAATTTTTGTTTTTTGATTTGATTTTCGCAAATTCTTGTTTTTTTTATAGAATTCAAATAACAAAATGAATAATCATCATCATCATCATTGTGAAATGTCCACACTGATGGATAGAAAAAAAAATTCTCATCAATCAATGATGTTTACTATGTGAATCTTTTGGCGATGATCAATTATTATCATCAATTATTGTGTTTTTATTGTTGATTTGATGAATGTGTATCATAAACACCGATACACACACACACACACACACACACAAAACAAACAAACAAAACGAATGGATTGAAAGAATTTTGCTTATGAAAAGCGAGAATATTGAACAATGGAGAGAGAGAGAGAAAGAAAACAGGCTGTTATGGTGATAGAGATTTGGTTGTTTGATTTTTTTTTTGTTGTCTATAGATTTTGCAATTATGATGATGATGATGATGTTGTTCATACATGTGCGAGATTATTATACACAACAAAATTTATACAATAGCTATGTAAATTTTTTTTTTTTTTTTTTACTAACTAAAATGTAAAAATATAAATATCTGGTTGTAGGTGGTTGGTTGCTTGATTGTGTGTGTGTGTGTGTGTTTTAATGGGGCGCCAAATTATTGTGTTCTCTTCTTCTTCTTCTTTATTTTTTTTCACTCTTTTTTGTGTATGATGTGTATATGTAGCTGATGATGATGATGATGATGATGATGATGTTGGATAAATATTGGATTAAAACAGATTGAATGTGCTGTTGTTGTTGTTGTTGTTGTTGTCATTGGCTCCAACCAAAATATCAAAAACCGTGTGTATACATGTGTGTGATTTCTATACATATACAGATAAATTAGATAGATAAAGTATACATGGGGAAATCGTTTTTGGTTGGTAAATGTGGAATGGTTTTTTTTTTATTTGAATATATCACATACACACACACACACAGAACAATATAGTTTTTTTTAACAGAAAAAAAAGAAAATTTGTTGTTTTTTTGTAGCTTGCGCAGATTTAACAACACACACACATTTATAAATACAAATTGAACATATTGAAAGTAAAGTGTTGTTATATTATAAAACCCATCTAGCTTCTGGTGTTGACATTGTTGTTGATCAGATTATTATTACATAAACAAATATTGAAAAGATTTTTTTTTCGTTTCGTTTCTTTTTCTTTAAAATTTCAGATTTTTTTTTTTTGAAAAATGTGGTTTCGTGAAGGAAAAGAAAACATTTTCGAACGTCATAAATGAATGTGTATGTTAGTGCCAGATGGTTTTGATCGGCATCTAATAGATGGCGTTATTGGCATATATTGAGAATTATGATAAATGAATGGCGCCAATTTGTTGTTGTTGTTGTGTTTCAACAACTAAAACAGGATTTCCATTCATTCGATTGAATATCAAAATTGATATCCGATGATCTAAATCGATCAATTGATAGTGTGTAAAGCCATAATTCGTTTGGTGATATTTGAAATTAATTTTTTTTATCATCATTCTAGCTACGTGTTTGTTCAATATACGCACAACTAATAAAATTTCCATAGAATTCTATAGAGTACAAATTTAATGATGATGACAATATACATAAAAGAATTTGTAAAATAAATAAATAGAAAAAAAAATTTAAACATTCGATTCAATGAAGAAGAAGATGGCTGCCCCTGTGAAAAAAATCGGTTTCGACCAACAATAGCGAAAAAAAAATTAGCGATAGCCGAAAATAGCGATATCGTATATGTAATATTTTCATTCGCTATATTCGGTTTTCGCTATTTTAGGTCGGAATCGAACAAAGACAATAAATGACTGCGCCTTCCAATATTCAATATTTATACAATGATTGGTTGGACCGACCCACACACATATACACATAAGATAGAACTATAGATAGTTCCACTACCACCAATAAATATACCAATGATGATTTGTATACACTACTACTCAAAATTTATGAATCAATTGAAAAATCATTTTCATTGTGTAACTAATATACATTCTTCACCAACAAAATAAAAAAAAAAATAATCCAAACGTATACACATACATTACAGCCGACATATTCTTCTCTCTTCCTCTCCCTCTGTTCTTTCGTTCCATTCATTGTGTGTTTCACATATCTAACACAACAACAACAAACACAACTTATTATTATTAAGTCCGTGCGCTCAAATTCGAACAACAAGAGTAAAAAAAAAAAAAAAAAAAAAAAAAAAAAAAATCGGAATCGTGTAAATTTGTATATTTCACACAACAAATAGCTATAAGTATTTTTCCTCATCCTCTCAATCATATTATCATGTTCCTGAACAAATTTTCATCCTCCTCAATTTTCAAAAAAAAGAGAGAGAAAAATAAGTGAGTGAGAGCTCAAACCGAACCGAACCGATTTGAGTTGAATTGAGTCGAGTATCTTTGAATCTTGTCGCACTCGTCGTCGTATATATCTATCTATTATATGTGTCTTTGTTGTGTGTGTGTATGTGTGTGTTAGAGATAGATTTGTGCGCCTTCTTGGGTTATATATCCTCTCCCTCTGTTTTTTTTTATATATATCTGTTGTTGTTTCAGTGGCTAATGTTGATGCTGATGCTGCTGCTGTTGCTGTTGTTGTTGCTGTTATTGGTGATGTTGATGTTTTCTCTTGGGTGCCAGATTATTTGATCTCTATTTCATCAACCATTATTATATCTATCCATTTAGCTATAGCTATAGAGCTAGCTCATCAATGTATTGTAATAATAATAATAATATATTAATAATATTATTACAACACAAAATATTCAAGAATCTTGGATCCTGAATAAAAAAAAAAATCCAAGATATAATCAACATGGAGAAATCGAATGAAAACAAGAAAAAAATGAAGTATAATTAGTGTGTTATATTTGTGTTGTGTGTGTGTGTGTCTGTGTTTTTTTTTTTTTAAACATCATAACCACCATCATCATCATTATTATCATCGACATCGACATCAACATCAAAATAATCGGATTCGGTATATTTTTTTTTGGACCCATGTTCAACACAATGATGAGAAAAACATTTTGATTATTATTGTGAGTGAATTTTTTCTATTCTCTTTTTAAAGTTTATTTTTATTGAAATTGTCAAATCAAAAAATAAAAAAAATTCAACTGAATATTATACATCTTTAAACTTATTGTGTGCTCACTTCATTCATTCATCATCATTCATTTTATATTTTCGTGTTTTTTTTCCTTGACCTCATCATCAACATACTTGACCAAATCAATAATGGATCAATAATAGAAAAAAAAATAATATATTGCCCAATATAACAATCATCGTTATAAAATATTATAAAGTTTTAATGTTTAAAATATATATAATAATCAAATTATTATTATTGATGATTAATTCATCGATTGATTATAGTCTCATCATCATCATCAGTTAGTGAAGAAAAATTTTTTTTTGTTCAGTGCATATAATATGGTAGCAATGTATTGTGTATGTGTATAAGGTATATATATACCAAATCATGTTTTGATATTGATTGATTTGATATATTTCAATATGTGTCTATGTGTGTGTGTGTATATATAATAATTGGTGATATACGATTATTGTGTTGATGATGAATGAATAAATGAATTTGATCATTATAATCAACAAATCATTATCATCATCATCATCATCATTTAGAAATTCATAATCATCATCATCATCATTATTTAAATGTATTGGTTGTTGTTGTTGTGTGAATTTATTTGTGTATGTACAATAAATGTGAACAACCATTGAAACCATTTTGCTTTTGATACACAAACACAACATTCGTTTTTTTTGTGTCTGTGTGTGTATGTTTGTTGTGCATTTGTTTTCATTATTTTGATTATAACAAATCAAATTGATTGATTAAATGAATTTCATTTCATTTATTTAAATAACTAATCATCAAACTAAACATTTAACGTGTGTGTTTGTATGCAAATATACTGTGTACAACGAAAGATACTCATTTTTTTACATTTTATATATCGACACCCAATATTTACCACGTCGATTATTTTGTGTTAAACAGCAAAACGAAACAATAACAACAATAACAACAACAACCGAAATGATTATTATAAATAAAAATATATGTAATAAATATTCTTTTCCGGTGGAAATTTAAATTTTGTTTTTTGTTGTTGCTGTTGTTGTTTTTTTTTTATATATATATAGGTGAGTTTTGTTTATAAATTTTAAATCAATTGAAATTGAATATGTATGATGATCCGATTGTTATTATTATATGATGATGATGATGATTATTTTGGGTTATTTCATATCATTATTTTTTCGATTTCTTCATTTTTGTTGTTGTTGTTGTTGTTTTATTTCGATATGAAAATACGATACATATCTATCTATCTCTATGTAATGATAATGATTTTATTTTTCTTTTTTTGTTAGATTGAAATCAGAGAAACGCACACGCATATTACATTATTTCAATTTGTTCCAATCGAAAACTTTTCCTATTTTTTTCCCGTTTGTGTGATACATAATGATTTGAATCATCAATGAATTTGTATTTCCGTTTTTCAAAAAAAAATGATGATATCTTTTAATCAATCAATCAACATTGTTCAAATCTATTTTTTCTTCTTTATTTTGTAATTTAAACAAAAAAAATAATTATCCAGAATACTGAACAAACATACAAATATATAGTAGTACAATATATAAAAATGGTTGTAATGGTTGAATAAAAATTTCCGGTCTGCTAGTTTAGTTTTTTGTTGTCCTGTGTGTGTGTGTGTGTGTTTTATTATCCACTAACATCATAATCTTTATTGCATTTTTTTTTCACCACTCAAAACATTATTATATTCGACAAAATATATTATATTACTCATTATTAAAATAGATTGTAATTTTTGTGAACAGAACAACATTATTCTTGTAAATAAATAAATAAACAAACAAATGAATGAATAAAAAATGAAAATTCTGACAACAGAATTACTAAAGTGAGAAAAAAAATGATTTGTTATGTTGGCACCATAG